TCGATTCTCTATCTGAGCAGACAAAGCCCAATATCACGAAAACTGCGCGAGAATTCGCGGTTCCTATGCACCGACTACGCCGGCGATGGAAAGGTGGAAAATCCCTTTTTCAACGAGCACCTAATGGTAGGAAGCTCAATCCTGAACAAGAGCAGGCTTTATGTGATTATATGGATTACTTTGATACGGTCGGAGTATCGATAAACCGACGCCAAATTGCTATTGCTGCCGATTCAATTCTTGAGAATGACCATACCGATCCCACTACGCCTACTCCACAAATTGGTGCCCACTGGCTACCACGTTTCCTGAAAAGACACCCTGAGTACTATGTACGACGCCGGCGATCTCTTGATATCGAAAGAGCTACTGCACTTGATAAATCAGTGGTTGAAAGGTGGTTTAAAGACTACAAGCAAGTCATCACTGAGTTTGGGATTTGCCAACAAGATATCTACAATTTCGACGAAACCGGCTTTCAAATTGGTGTTGGACGAGACCAATTTATCATTACAAGGCACCCAAAAAGAAGCTATTTAACGGCTCAGTTACCAATCTAGATTCTGTTACAGTTTTGGAGGCTGTTTCAGCAAATGGTTTTGTCTGCCCGCCGCTTATAGTTCTAAGCGCTAGGTAGGTATTACTACGCTGGTTTAACGCTATTGATTGTCAGGGTGCGGGCTGGCAGGACGGTATGATAGGAGATGACTGGTAGGAACAGGTCATAACAGATCAGATTCCACTTGACAGGTACAGGCAGGGGCAGGCTATTATACAAGACGTAGCTCGAAGAGCTACAACAGGATCTAGAACTGAAGTTCAGATAAACAGGTCGGAGATCACGTGCCGTGATCTTCCTCTTACTAAGCATCACGGTTCGCACCGTGACAGATGAAAAGTAATAGATGGTGTACCTTATAGCGATGTCATATTCCTTCCCATGCCAGACTGCATGGTCACTTCTTCCCGATAACTTCCACTCTGGCTCATTGAAAGCCCAAGGCTGAAAGCCCCATATCCGCTCGCAAAATTATCTTTATCTTGTTGGTCCCCTTATGAATATTGAACGTGCTTCCACTTGAATCCTCCTAGACAGGAAAAACTGTGTGGAGTGTAGGTCTACTGAATCAAACTCACCTTATGGATGCCATGAAATTTTAGGCTTTGGCATCTTATGGGTAGATCAGGGTAGTATGTAGATGGCCGAGTACGCCTAAATCAGCTATGTTTCTCAGTTACTAGAACAGCCTAAGGCGACAAAGCGCAAGAAAGTTCGAAATTGCAACTAACTATCACAACATGTAGTCACTATCATCAGAAATCAGATCCCCCTTAGTACATCTGAAGAAAGAAAAAACAATTTGGATTGAGGAAAAATCAAAGGTCAACTGCTTAGGGTAAAAAAAAATTGCATTTCAAAACCGAAAGATCTGTCCTGCACTTGAAGTTCCATTCTTGATGTGGAAAAGGCCATCAATCACCCAAATATTTACGCCAGTGTTTTATCAGATGCTAGATCCGTACTGGAAAGAACCTTCACTGTCAGATGCTTTCTTGTAATAGCTGCAAAGAAGTCTCCCCACTTCATATCATCGGGTGTTGTTTCATATAGCTGCATATCGAGATAGCGAAACATATATGTAAAGGCCAAGTATAACTCGGAATAAGCGAGGCTAGAGAATGGGGTTTTGCTTGTAAGTTCACGTATACGGCACAGTGATCGACGCAAAAGTTGCGCATGTTCTAACTTACTTGATCCCGATACAGCCCCGCGAGCCTCTGGAAAAGGATACCAAGTGTCGGTCCAGGTACTTGAAGTCATTACCAAGCCAGCGCTCAGGCTTAAAGGTTGTTGGATCTTGAAATATCGAGCCATCAGTGTGATAAACATAGTGGCTGAGAGAAAGGATGGTCTGTATTCATACCGTCAGTAGGTGGTGGTTTCGAACTCATGAGACCAAAGAGCATACCCCAGGGGGTATGTAACATCCGCAAAGGGTGGCGCCAGATGATGGTACAGTACGTGGGAGTCGTCCAGGGGCCCCATGAGAGATTCGAAGCGACTCTTTCACAACGGCTCTCTAGAAATGACATTATTAGTCGCTTGGAAGCTCCATCTATAATCTGAACAAAAGCCCAGTCACGCACCAGGTAAGGTAGCTTCTCAAGTTTATCTGCAGTTGGCATTGGGCAGCCATCGGGTATTGCGCTAGAAAGCTCCTTCTGAAGTCTGCTTTTCATCTGCGGGTTGTTTAAAACATTGAAAGTACCGTGAATCAAAGTGTTCGCTGGCGATTCCTCTCCTCCAGCTATAAAAGCTAGGGTCTCGGCTGTGAGTTCATCAATGGATGGGGCTGGTAGTCCGGTTTTTTCATCTGGCTGCAAGACCAGGTCAAATATGCTTGGATGCTGTTGTCCTGTCAATTTAGGCCGATTCATAGACTCCAGAGCTATGTCGTGGGCTTGCTATACACGGAGACATTAGCCACAAAGAGAAAGAAAACAAGGACCCAAGAAGAGTATTGAAGTAACTCACAGTGTGCAGGTGGAAACCAGCAGCAAATGTTTTATTCCACTTTGCAAGACCAGGGAATTGCAGAGCAAAACCAATGATGAACCTGAAAAATCCATGGAATGTACGGATAAGGGTTGTAGAGACAAGAAAATGATTCATATAAACCACACTTGGATACGAAAAATCTGGCGCATCGAGCGCCCCCCATGCCCTCTGCCATCCATAGTTCAAGATCAAGTCGGTGGTCAGCGAGTGATAGCCTCTTGTGAGATCAACTACTTTTTGATCCTTGCCGTATTCTTTCAAGATATTAATGAACTTCACGATGGTGGCATGAATCAAAGGCTCGCCTCTTGCAACGGCTGCTTTGGAGAGAAAGGGGGCAAACATCTCTCTTCGCGACTTGGCAGACTCGAGGTCTGACATGTTGACGTGAGATCCTTCCAAAAGAGGATGATCATAGAAGCGGCGCGTCTTTTCCAATTTGGTGCCGACGCTGAAAACTTTGTTATAAGCATCCACATCGTGGATGTGCAGTTCGTCGGGATAGGTTCGGACAATTGGCCCTATAACCACGGGAAATATGAGATGTGAGCGGAAATGGCATTATCCAAGTTCGTACCATATCTTCGATGAAGTTCTGGAAGTTTCAGAGTGTATTGCCCTCCTTTAATCAGCGTCCAATACGCGCCGTAAAGGTTCGTGGCCGCAGCCAGCTTTGGTCCTGGGAATCGAGCAAGGGGATGGAAAAACAGCCTGTAAACCATACGAAGGCATTGGAGCCCCAGTAAGACTGCTATCAGCCACGGCCAAATCATGCTGACAACGATGGGCTGGTTGAACGGTCAGAATAAATCATCATATGCAGTACTTTGTCGGAAGTACTTATAACATATAACATACTGCTGGCTTGGCTACCCAATTTGCTTTTGGACCATCTACTATATAGCTAAGATGCAATCATCATCGAGTATAGTTACACCTTGCTTGGATCTCCACGCCAATACAACATTATATGGCCACTTGGGTTGCACAAATGCGAAATACAAACTATGCGCATGCGGATGAAGCCGACTTAGGATATGAGCAAAACAAACGGCAGTGGTCCTATTCGTCGGCGGACTTCAGCCGAATGGATTGGAGCATATGGACAACTGAACATGGTGATAGATCTAAACCATAACATCCAGAGTACCATGCGGAACAACCTAAATAGACGCACACTCGATACTCTGACCAAATTCCACAACGCCGAGAGTCTTCTTTTTTTCGGAGGGCCATGTAATGGAATGAAAAGGATATTGGCTTATGCATTATCAGGTAAATGTGTGGGCAACACAAGACATCATGCACGAAGCTGTAATTGGACTGGTACCCGTGTGTTTCCAAGTCCCACACGGTACACTCGATACTGCATTCGTATGCTTCGCTTCATAGCAGTTCATATTTCACAAGATACGAACAGTGTTGCCCACATTATGACTAGACCTCGCCAGACTTGCTGGGGTAGAAGAAAATTTCTCTTCCTTCGTTGCTACCTAGGAAGGCAAATTAAGAATGTAAAGCTGGCCATGGCCAACCTCAGAAGCAATCTTTTCGACATCAATTCCATAGGTCCCCCCATTCTATAAAGAAACCAATCCACTTATACTTGATCATAGAACAGAAGACGTCAGAGTCATTAGTCAAGTAGACAAAGTATAAAAAGGCATTAAGGTATTACTCTCATTCCCTAAACGCGGACAAAAGCTGTAGAGTGAATTATCACATTAGCACTACATCCAAAAAAAGTGCACACTGCAAGAGAGACACGGGAGAAGGAAGGTAGACACTTACTAGCATCAATCTGCTGGATATTCGGCAACGCCAAGCGCACCTTATTCCGATAAACTGCCGGCCCATTCAATTGCAATGGGTTACCCTCAAAGTAAACAGTCTGCAGCTTCTCCTTATCCTTGAGCTCGCGCTCAACTTCCTCAAAGCTAGCAAGCTGGTTATTCGACCCCCACAGCTCCTCGAGGTTTTTAAGTGAAGAAAGATGTTCAAGATGGGAGACCTGGTTGTTAGAAAAGTCGAGCACGCGCAGTGTCTCGTTGGATTCCAGTCCTGATAGGTCGGTTACTGCATTGTGAGAGAGGTAGAGCTCTTCAAGCTTTGGGAGCGCGGAGAGTCCCGTGATTTTGGTGAGGCGGTTGGATTGGATGGAGATGATGCGGAGGTTTGAGAGGCTGTCCAGGTTCTGCGAGGGTGTCAGCTTCTTTACCTGTCATGGTCTGTTCGGCATCGATTGCGGACCTTCATTTCAACGATCTTGTTCTTCCCAAGCCAGAGTTCTTCCAACGCGGTCAGGGTTTCCAAGTTTTCGATTTCCTGACCGGGCCCCGTGTCAGCATTTCTACTGTTGATCTTATAGGTGGCTATCATGCAGTACGAACCCGAATCTTATTCGCGCCCAACTCCAAGTTCTTGATTCTGGTCAAGTCCTCCAAGCCCTCGATGCGGGAGATTTTGTTCTGCACAAAGAAAATCTCGGTCAACTTCTTCAGATGCGAGACATTCTTGATATGCTTGATCTTGTTAAAGCTCAGATCCAAGCTTGTCAAGTTATGGAACTCCTCCAGGCCCTTGATGTGGGAGATGAGGTTATCGTAGAGATCGAGCTCGGTCAGACTGGCGGCGACATTTGGAGGGAAGTTGACGCGTGATATTTGATTCTGGCGCATGCATAGTCTCTGTTGATCCTACCACGTTAGCCATCTGGATGAATCAAAGGGATGCCGTGCGGTCGCGCTTTTGTGCATTGAGGGAAAAGTGGTACCATTTGCCCCTCTTTGCTACGAGACGCATGCGGATTTTAGGGTCGCCAAGGGTCTTTACCTGAAGCTTGGGGAAGCGTTCCAATTTAAGAGCAGAGATCGATGATATCCGGCAATGTACGAGGTCAATATCCTACAGCAGAAAAATCGTTAGTAATCAGGTCGCGCGCACGTCGACCAGCGGTTGTCCAGGGCTATCTGCCTACCTCTGAGTTAACATCCTCATCTGCCAATAGATCTGAAGAGCCGTTAGTCTGCCGACTCGCTCGCAAGCGCTCAGCACGGAGCAATCAATCATCCCGCGAGCGTACCTTCATCAGCCTCAATTTCCTCGACCGGGGGTGCATCCGGATCCGAGTAGTCTGAATCCTCCAGCGCCTCCGGGTTTGTGATAACGGCCTTTGGCTCCATTCTCATTTTTCCGTCCCAGCCCTCCTTGTTCTTCATAATTTCAGCCAGCGTGAGAGTTGTGCAATATTTGAAGGTGGGCGGTGGGAATCGCGATTGCGGGGAGCTTTTGGCGTTTTTATCAGGAGATGATCGCCAATCGGGGGTTTTAGGAAAAAGAAAAAAGAGAAATCCAAGGTGGATTCTAAAGAACTAGGAATTAACGAAGAGAAAATGAAGAGGTTGCACTCAGACTCAGGAACTCAAACCTTGGTTTCAGGAAGGTTGAGGTTGACCGGTGACTACATCATCGTCTTAATGCGGTCTCTCAACGCGGAATGGCCCCGAGGCAATGCACCTTGTTCACTTACACATGTTCTTACTTTTCATAGATTATTCCAAGGTTATAGATGAATTAAATTAAGGGATCACTTTCATGCCTACTCTAATACAACTTGCTCCATTTTTTCCCCTGGATACGTCGTCCCGGGGGCTATATACAGCATCGAGAGCCGTGATTGATCATGTACATTGCATGAAAGAATCACTCCAACTTTGGCAGCGTAAAGGGGATTATTAGACACTGCTCACTATTAAGGAGATGCATACCACTGCCAGGCAAAGGTCCCCGCAAAGGAGAGGACACAAAGAAATGCATGCTCGTGTATTGGTGAGCTGAGATCAAGGCAGCAAGGCCATGTAGCAAGGCAGAGGTGGAAAAGAGGAAAACACAGCGGGGGGGATACAGCGGGGGCATGATAACCAAGAGACGCCTGCAGAATGCATTGAAAGCGGACTTGTTGGGTGTTGGGATGGGAAGAGAATACACAAAAAGGGAAGATCAGAACATGAGGGGGTGTTGATAAAGCAAAGAGGAAGAAACAGTAAAGGAAAAAAGGGGAACGGGCTCGCTCGGAGCGTGGTGAGATACAAAGTTAAGTTGCAATGCAAAAGGTCGAAAATGGACAGGTGAATGTGCTATCCAAAAGCGACAACAAATGCAGGAGACGGGGCCTTGGCCCAGTAGGATACCAGTTCCATCTGGGTCCATGTTCGGTCGTCGAGAAGGGGAATCGAATCTGTAGTAGGAAATAGGGTGACTACCCGTCAATGGCAGCAATGCTGGAGGAATGCAAAAGGAAAGGGCTTTTCTCGCATAGAAAAGGAAACAGGTCGCTCAAAATGGATATCTCAGGTGTATGAAGAGTCCCATCGAGGCATCTACAGGGTACAATCCAGGACCATGCTGACATCTTGGACTTGGGCCCCTGCGAGATCCTCGAGAACAGGGATGAGATCGAGCAGCTCATTGTCGTGAGCGTCAGAGAACCAGCTACTGATGGGAATCGCGTGCTCAGGGTGGAAGATGTAGGATGTGGGGGAATTGTCAATGATGATTGTTTCCTTCAAGTCTCGACCGACTTGTGAAAGATCCTGAATGATGGTTAGCTTGTTCTCAATGACGTGAGAGGACGCGAGTCCTTACCTTGACGTAGTTCCCCTGGTGGTTATAACAACTCTCTCGGAATAGGCGGTGATGAACCACGTTGTGAATATCCAGTTGATCGAGCAAAGGGTCGCCATACTATAACTCGGGTCAGTGTGCTCACTCCGTAAAACCGTCAACTGTCAACTAACCTTTGAAACTGAAGCAGTAAATACCACCACTTCGTAAAGCTCACCAACGCGCTTCATGAATTCATCCACACCAGGACGTTTGATCACATAGATGTTGTGGTATTGACCTTCAATCTCAACTGGAATGGTGAAGTCGGCACGCTCCAAGACCTGTCAAATCAATGAGTGATGTGATAAAATGAGAAGAGAATCCACCTGGTGCGCGCACTGAAAGCGGGGGAGACTTACCTTGAAGCTGCTGTGAACTAGGGTTTCATCGAGATCGAGAACCAAGCACTTTCGGCCACTTAAGTGCGGCAAAGGGGCAGGGAGCAAAGGTTGCGCTGCGTCCTCATATTGGCCTCGAACAGAAGGGGCCGGTGGTGCAGGCGGTGGTGGCGGCGGCGGGATCACCACGGGGATTTCCATTTCTTGATGAGATGTGACTTCTTCTTGGCTGTTGGTGCCGAAATCTTTAGGGATGATTGACGTTGATGCAGAAGTGAGGTCCTCGGTGATTGAAGTTGACTGGCCTTCCCATTCATGGGTGGTTTCGTCTGCTTTCACTTCAGGTACTGATCCCGTCACAATTCCTGTATGGTCGGGTGGGGCAACATCATTAGTCTGATCTTTCTGGCCAGAGATTTCGGGTTGTTTGGCATCGGCGGAAGGACCGTCAGCTTGCACGCTAGCCACGGCAGGCAGGACATTGCGGTCTTCTTCTCCAGGCTGATCAGCGCTGACTGTGGAGTTTGCTTTTTCGTCTAAGTAGGGCTCCCTTGATTCTACGGTGCTTGAGTCACCAGTAGGAACCTCTGTCTTGTCTGGAGTAGGCAACCTGTTGGAGGCAGGTGGCCGCATGGTTGTTTTCTTTGCAGGCAGGGTGGTGTCATCTGCATCAACATCCGAAGAGGAGCAACAGCCCAAGAAAGACAGGAACTTTGATGAACTTTTCTTCTGTTGAGGCTTTGAGGCGCTGTCATCGGGTGTGTTCGCCGCCTCTTTACCCTCCTCCGCATTCACTTCGTTTTGGGTCTGGCGCGACCGGCCACTACTGGCCCGGCTATGATCCCGTTTTGACCGCAGAATGCTCACTTTGGAACTTCTTCGTGAAGGCTCATCTTGCGCTGCCTCCTCCGTCCTTTCCGACCCCTGTTTGTTCGCTCTCAAGGATCGTCGCGACGAGATCGGAATCAACAAATGGCGTTTCTTCGGCGCGTTGGTGCCTTCTCCAGCGGTCAGTGTAGTATCCACTGTTACAGCGGAAGATGAGGCCGGGTCGAAAGATGCGACAGAAGTTGCATCCTGGATCTCGGTCGCATCGGTGCCTCTGCCCTGTTCGGACTCAGGAACTACGGAAGGAACGACGTCAGCAATCATGCCCCCTCTTTGGATGCAAAAACTGAAAGGGAAAAAAAAGCGCATCCACTTACTGGCTGAGCCTAGAAGGCCGGAGGTATTCATGGGTGATTTGTTTGGGAATTCCAGAGCTGAATCTCGCGCGATGCTCTCTCCACTCATTGTAGAGTGGCTGCGGTGTCAGGTGCCCCGACACAGTTAAATATAAAAACAGGAAGCGAAGCGAAACAGATCCAGGTCTGAAAGGCCAAGTCAATGCCAGAACTCTCTGAGGTCGAGAGCGCGGCTAATAGGGGACATTAACACGCCTCCTAGATAATAAGCAAACGCTCTGGGAAGTTCACAAGTACCGCCTTTGGCCCCGGGTGTGATCCAACACCCAAATATTGCACTTTTGAAAACGACAAGCTAAACGAACAGAAAAGGGATGTGATATATTTCTACCGTTTAAGGAGGATTTTCGGGGGAAGAGGAGTCGAGAGGAGTCGGGGGCATGTCACGTGAACCCACGGTGTGGGAAAACGGGGGGAGAGGAGGGAAATGAGATTTATTTCCTTTTTCCTTTTTTTGACGCTAAGCAGGGCTTTCAAGGCTAGCAAGGCACAGGGGCCCTTTTTCACACGCTACTCCAAGCCCTCGGCGGCTACGGTAAATGCCAATGTGCTATCACGCTGTGCAGAGTTGTATCTTGTACTTCGGCCGATGCTGTTTTCATGTGCAATGCGGGATTCTTGTTCCTTCACTCCATACATCATCCTTGTAACCTCATAGCATATGGCGTGAGTCAAATAAGCAGAATTATGTTAAGATGAATCCGATCAGGGCCTGTGGGGTGATCTAATTGTGGATATTAAGTGTGATTATTATGTACGGCCCCTTTTTTTTCATGGCCACTTTTATGCTTTAATGACCACTCATATGGTCAGTCCGAGGAGCTATGACCTTCAAAACGTGATGGATTTCATGTGACTCAAATTTACTCCGTAAATCCGGTCCAAACCCCAAGCCATAAACTGCAAACTTCAACTTGGGTTATATATGTTGGTTCGAGTTCTCGAGGTTCACTCCGTTGGGTTGGAATGTTTCACGTGGGGGAAGTTCACCCTGACCATGACAAACGATATTAAAGACGATAATACGGAGTACGGAATACTCGGGAGAGACGAGAGATGGGATTGGATCAAAGTCAAGATTGGGGTTTCCCCAATTCTGTTATGCAAGTTGCACATTTTCCAACATCCCTGGAGTTCATTGGAAGGTCACAAGAGATTGCTCGGCTGCAGAAAGAGTACAGTCAGCTTCCCCACGTGAGGTGCTTCTCCACATATCCGAGGTTCACATGAAATGATGCAACCCCCCCAAATTTCCTCAAGCACTCGTGTCACATTCACTTTCTTGCCTTGAGATGCATTCTCTATGGTTTGGGATGCACTCAAAATTAACCTCATGGCCTTCAGTCGAGTCTAGGGACTGCCCCTCAGTTACCTCGTGAGTCGAAGGTCTTGGGCCATTTAAAGATGGCCATCCAGTTAATCCTTCGGCGCCCGGAGGATCCCCTCCTGGTATTCTATCGTCATTTCTCCGATCTTGTACGCTCCAAGTTTCATCACACATCTAAAACTACCCGCTTGATTGCAACGATAGCCCTTCTTTTCTCCATCGTCACCTCTGGCTATGGAGGCTATAAGTGGTTCCGAGGGAGAGCCAAGGAGCGAGCCCAGGGTCGCCGTCTGTTACGCCGGAACTCTGGTATCCGGGGTAAAGATGGATCCCGTACCATCTACGTGCCATACAAGGACTCCCTAACCTCCAAGGTCTTGATCCATCCTACCAAACCGACTACCTTTGACGCTCATCGACGGCTATTCCTCAATCCGCCGGCATCGGCTCGCGGCAAAGATGATGGCTTGGCAATCCAGATTCCTCCCCCTACAACTAAACCAGGTCTGAATTTGGCATTCCTGCATCAGTTCTTAAGCTTGGGTAGTATCATGGTCCCGAGATGGGGAAGCAAGGAGACTGGGTTGCTGATGAGCCACGGCCTTTTTCTCTTGATGAGAACATATCTTTCGCTGTTGATTGCACGGCTTGATGGTGAGATTGTGAGGGATCTGGTCGCTGGGAAAGGAAAGGCTTTCCTTTGGGGTATCCTCAAGTGGTGTGGAATTGGAACCCTTGCTTCGTACACCAATGCGATGATCAAATTCCTCCAATCAAAGGTGTCCATCGCCTTCCGCACTCGGTTGACCCGATATATCCACGACTTATACCTAACCGACAATAACAATTACTACAAGTTAATGAACCTAGATGGCGGAATCGGTCAAGGGCCCGATCAATTTATCACGCAGGACCTTACCCTGTTCTGCACAGCTGCCGCATCTCTGTACTCCTCAATGGGAAAGCCAATGGTGGATCTTTTGGTATTCAACTATCAACTGTACCGCTCACTCGGCCCACTTGCCCTGAGCGGCATCTTAGCCGGGTACTTCAGCACGGCCGTGGTGCTCCGGAAACTTTCACCACCATTTGGAAAGCTCAAGGCAGTAGAGGGCAAGAAGGAAGGAGATTTCCGTGGCCTGCATTCTCGACTTCTTGCCAATGCCGAAGAGATCTCGTTCTATGGAGGAGCTGATACCGAGCGGGTATTCTTAGTCAGAAGCTTCAAGGAGTTGCAACGATGGATGGAGGGGATTTACAGTCTCAAGATCCGCTACAATATGCTCGAAGACATAATCTTAAAGTATTCCTGGTCAGCATTTGGTTATTTAATAACGTCCCTGCCCATCTTCCTCCCCGCCTGGGGTGGTTCGGGTGGTGCAATGGAGTTGGCTGATGCACCCGAAGGAATGGGTCGTGAGCGTGGCCGCATGAAGGAATTCATCACCAACAAACGCCTCATGCTTTCGCTCGCCGATGCTGGTGGCCGCATGATGTACAGCATTAAGGACATATCCGAGCTCGCTGGCTACACCTCTCGCATCTACAGCCTCATTGCCACGTTGCACCGTGTCCACGCTGACGCGTATTACACCCCACAGGGCTCGCATCCCGAACTATACTCTCTTGCTGATTCCCAAGGCACCACCCACAGCGGCTTCGACGGGGTTCGCCTAGAGCAGGTTCCTATCGTCGCACCATCCCTCCACCCAATGGGCGGCGACGAACTCATCGAGTCGCTCTCATTTATCGTCCATTCGGGTGATCACCTCCTCATCTCAGGTCCGAACGGCGTAGGCAAGTCTGCCATCTCCCGAATTGTGGCTGGACTCTGGCCCGTTTACCGCGGGCTAGTTAGTCGCCCTCGAGCCTTCGGCCTCGACGGGATCATGTTTCTCCCCCAGCGGCCGTATCTCAGCGTCGGCACTCTGCGCGACCAAGTAATTTACCCTCACACAGAGGTCGACATGCGCGAAACTGGCGAGACAGACGCAGCCTTGCAGAAGATCCTCGACGACGCCCATCTCGGATATCTACCCCAACGTGAAGGCGGATGGGACGCTTGCAAGGAGTGGAAAGACGTTTTAAGCGGTGGCGAGAAGCAGCGAATGGGCATGGCACGACTCTTCTACCATGAGCCGCGGTATGCGTTCATGGACGAAGGCACTTCGGCTGTTTCCTCCGACGTCGAGGGATTGCTGTACGATAATGCCAAGGGGCGAGGTATCACACTTATCACAATTTCGACGCGGGCATCATTGAAAAAGTACCATACCTATAACCTGACTCTTGGCCTGGGTTCCGAAGGCGAGGTCTGGGAGCTTGAGAGAATTGGCACTGAGAAGGAGAAGCTCGGTGTTGAGAAAGAACTGCTAGAGCTGCGAAAGCGTCTAGATAAGGTGGATGAGTGGAAGCAGCGCCGCGAGGAAATTGATCAGGAGCTTCAGAAAGTTTGGACTAATAACGGTGAAGTTGCACCGCCGCCTTATCATGAAGAAGAGCACTCTGGCCCTGAGGTTCTACTTGAAGTAACTGCGGAATGAATGTACACAGTCAGCGTGTCAAATTTCAAATATCTCCAACCTTGGACTCTTAGAATGATTTTTGAAAAGAACCCAACTCCCTATGCAAAAGACAGGTGTATCTCTGAGTCTAGTAGTGTTGTTGACTTGAAACATATAAAGCAGGTGATATTTCCCCTTGTCTCACCGCCCCCGTTAAAGCGGCGGCATCCCTTATCGATAAGCCACCAAGAGAAAACCATCCATGGATGGGTCTCCATAGTAGTTCATCCCATCAACAGCTCTGTCTCCCTTTCATTCTTGTTACAAACTCTCAAGATTCCTGTGCTGTGGTCTTTCCATTTTTTCCTCCCTAAGCATTGCTGTATCATAGCTTCTTTACAATCCAATCTGCTCTCCCTGGGCTGCCCAGGTGGGGAGGTTAAAACATGTCTTATAGCGAGGATGATGACCCCAATGTCAATGTTATTCCTATGGAGGACTTTCCCAGCGATGGAGAAATGAGTACCTGGCCTACAGGTCACTACATTGAACGCCCTGACTTGCGCTGGCGGCAATTACTCGCTGAAAACTGGCTCAAAAGTATGGGCACTTATGAAGAAGGTCAGTTGGATACAGGTTTCTTTTACAATTTTTGTTTAGCATGCTGGCCTAGTTGTGCCATCTTATTTTGCGCGTTGCAATTGTTGGGGGCATCTGTCGCTCCAATTAGTTGTCGCTTGCTCGCCCATTCCTTTGTACTTCATGTTGGCCTACTTCTTCCTTGCTTCTAAATTTCTCTTCTTTTTATTTCTACTCTCAGACTGACAGCATACATCAGGTGTCAGTCATATTATTGAAAAGCTGCCCGATGGATACTGTTTATTTCAGCGACCTCGTGGGACTGATCCTAGCATCGTGAGATTTCCCAGTGTTCCAGTTTTGATTCATAACTAACCATCCCAAATTAAGTTTGATCCTTTTCTCTTTGGCCATCCGAGCGGACGATATTTCCAGTCACAGAAAACTTTCTTCCCGCATTTCCTGTCCCTAGTCAAGAACGAGCTGGACAAGTGTAAGTGCAAGCCCTGTGAGAAGATGAAGACGGGCCAGGGGACCGCAGTGCAGAACACTAGACGTGCTGTGCAACCAAGTGAGTAACACTATGCCTCTGTGTTGGGTTGTTTGTTAACACACATCAAGTGACCAAAGAGCGCCGACCCACCGATGCAGAGGGACCAGATTACTGGCGAATCTTGGTCATGAAATTGAAAGATGAGGGGCAGCTGGATGAAGACATTGAGCAGCGGTTCAATCTCGATTGGGCATTGACCCACGAATGGCTTTCCGATTACTTTATGAAACTCGTTCTGGACCCGGCTTATGTCCCTCGTCGTGGTGAGCTGGTTCTCTGGATATGGAAAGGTCTCGAGGACGGTTGCTTGATGCGAAACCCCGAGACTGGCCTCGTCGAAATATTCGGCAATGATAACAGGTGGCATGGTGTACCCAATTGGCGTGCTGGTGTGGTGACTCAAACACCAGTGGATGAAGGTCACATGGTGAACATTATTGAAAATCCGGACAGTTCACGCGGGCTAAGTTACTCTGGGTTCCGGGTGGAGACTCTTCCAGATCCCCTGGGAACTGACAAGTCTTACTCCGTCCAATATGCCTATGTTCCTTTGCGGAATATCAAACCCTTCAACACATGGCAACTCTACCTCAATGGCCAGGGGCGAGACGATATCCATCCCTCCATAGAGAATGCCATGACTGTTATGTCTTCGTGGAGCATGGTCCACAAGTTCCACATAATCGGCAAATGGCCCAATGCCAGGATCTACTGCAAAGGAATTTTCATTGGAGCCGAACTGCTTGCTGTACACGACACCGTGCGTCTGAGGCCGCATGGATTCCACCACGACCAGCTCGAAAATGGAACAGTTGGCAAAGTGACAGATGTGATGGTCATTGAAAATATCGCACTGTGCCTTTCAGGTTGTGTCGATGACGACCACGAGCAGCTAGCGGGCCACTTCACAGCCCTGATCTCCGGTAAGGTGTTCACTACCAATCCCAACCGTATTACCGAAGAAGGCCCATTCAAAGGTACAAGCCCTGTGCCATCCACCACCGAGGCAGTAACCGGTCCTATTCCACTCACCACGGAAGAAGCAACTGCTACCTTCCGCCAGGTCGGCATGAGTGACTACGGTCCCTGGTACCGTATGGCCAACGGCAGATCTTGCAATGTCTCCCCCCACTGGATCGTTGGTCGCTGCTATGAACCGCTCGCGGCAGAGCTGATGTTTGGTATCCACACCCTGGGTTATGACGTATCCGGTGTGATGGAAGGTCGCCAGTACTCGTCACAAGTTGATACGCGCATGCCTGAAGGCCATACATGGTTCTGGGGCGACTGCCGGGTGGAAACGCTCGGACTGACAGAAATCAACGGTGTGGAGTGCGGTCTTACAGCGGCACAGCGCAAAGACCCGCGCAAGTGGCAGGCGATTATCAAAATGTCGCACGGTGAGGTCAGTCATGCTCTCCGGCGCCAAGCTAACATTCCTTCCTCTGGTGGTCGAAACTTCAAGTCTTCGTCTTCATCCACTCCAAAGGGTACTAGCACACGCCCAAAGACTGGTCTTGCGCACGTTGCGCAGACGAGTAAGCTGGTCAGTTCTGCTATTGGCAGTGCGCCGGAGACTGAGGATGACTCCCTTGAGTATCCATTTGAAGATGCGAATGGATTGGCTGATGATCCAGTGTCTGGTCTGGGGCTTCAGGGAGGCCCTTCTTCTGGGGAGGACAGTGATTATCCTTTCGCATAGATTGCTTCGATCCGATGTGGCCGCTTGTTTTCCCTCCTTTTTAGCGGCATATTCAAGATACCCATGGGCGTTATGGAGGGATGGTCTTAGCCAAATGGAATTTTGCGCGAGATGCTCAATGTTTAAATAGTCACCGTGTAGTCATTCCATGTACTTTTATTGATTGTTCCCACAGCAATGTCATCTTGTAGAGCAGACTGGAGATCAACCTCTGGAAGAGGATCACTCGTACACTACCTAATTCAAGAGAGGCAGATCCCATGGCTTTTGCTATTTCACATCCATGTCTAATGAACGACATAACGTAGCCTCAGGACCTCTTCTTCTCAGACCACGTGAAGTGAAAAACAGGAGGTTAAACGAAGTTGTTACTATCATCCGCAAGACCAGCAAAGACATTCTCCAATATCACCACCGACGCAAAATGGCCACCATGACCCCCTTGACCACCCGGGAACCAGAATTCCTAGGGGAAGATTAGCGATAGTGCGAGGAAGAGGCCAGCCCTCAAAACAAGTCTCAGAAAAGTGAGAGGAACATTAGCATTGCTGGAATCCGGGAGCAAGAAAATTCCATAATGTGAACGACATAGATTTCTGTCATCGGTGGATGAATAGATGATCACATTGGGAAGACAGAGTAGGAATAGATTGAGCAAAGGTCATTTTGCAGGACTCCTTTCCACGCGTCAAACTATGAAGAATTGTGGAGATCTTCAGAGGGTGGATCTAATAATTCTTCTGCACGACACCCCTCGCAAACTCCGCGAAACTCAATCCAGGCTGCACCTCCTCCGCAAGATTCGGCTGCGTAAACACAGCAAGAGTATTCCTCGCAACTTTCTGCCCTGGACTGTTCTTAGCCCCCTTGACAAAATGTGGCACGGCCATGAACTTGCCGCGCGTGATCAGCTGCAAGGCCTCGCCAGTCTGGAAAGCGAGACAATCCCTAGGAATATTGACTTTAACGATTTCATCGGTGCGCGAGCGGATATACAGGCCAGCTGAAGGGTCGGGGGAATGGGGAAGTTCAGGGAGAGGGGCAGATGCAGACCCCGAAGATGGATCGAGGGTTGGAGGGGAAGCTGCTTCGTCGAGGAACATGGCCGATGTCAGGCCGGTCAGACAGCCGTGATCGAGGTGGGTGGCACACCAGTCGTCATCGCTGACTTCAGTCTCAGCCTCATCTTCCTGATTTCCGGGGAATAATGTAACAGTCGTGCCTTGGTCGTTAAGCTGGTTGTCACGACGTGGTGCAGATATCCAGGCTTGTAGCCTTCGATGTTGGCTTCCGCATATCGATCGCATGCTTTGGCGACGAGAGCCGCGGTATCAATGATCAATCCACATAGTGACTCCAGGCTACCCCTGAATTCGGGTAATTTGGTTGGTGAAGGCCAGATGTTTGGCGCGGTGTACTGGGGTAGATCGGGGAAACCATCTGCGGGGGCGCTGTCCAGAGATGCATCCTGATAAAAGGCACAGTTCACATAGTACGAGCCCTTGAGCGTGTCGAAATGGCCTGATTTCAGTGTTTCTTTACCACAAGACCAGCCGACCAGGTATTTAGATTCTGGGCTAGTGAGGGAGTCTACGTGGAGGTTAGTTTGAGTTTTGCTGGAGTTGAGAGAAATGTCGGGGCTCTCCGGGAGTTGGAGACTTACCCAGTTCAGGTCCAGGGAGAGCTGCCAGATAAGATGCGTTGGAGAGAACCTTTTTGCGCAGGTCGTTGAAGGTTGAGGGTAGGTCTTTGACGACGATGATGCCCAAAGAGGACGGTCCGAAGGCTTTGGTTAGAGTGTCGAAAGAGACAGACCCTGCATGGATTAGCATCTCCTCTTTAAATCTGTTCTTCTAAACACAGAACTTACCATCTACAAGTTCCTGCAGACTAACAGTAACGGCCTCGGCCATCGTGTTGCTCGCCATGTTGTAAAAAATCAAAATGAACTTCCCCGCTTCCAAGAATTTCCTCGGCGTGTCATCTCATGGTGAAAGGGTACTCTTCGATCTGCTCTACATTTGACACGATGATACTTGAGACACAAATAAATATTAACATACCCAGTAGGAGTCGAGAAGTTCAGATCGTCCCTTTCTTAGTATATCGTACAACAGTTATATGATACATATTGCTCACTCGCTACCCGATGTCCCATGCCGTCTAGTCACAGCCCTTAAATTACCAAATGGCAACACATCGGTAATCCGCTTAGCCCCTGTGAACAGCATACAGAGACGGTCAACGCCACAACCCCATCCACCGGTAGCAGGCAGACCCCACTCCAAGGCCTCCAGATAACTCTCGTCGACCTCACCGGGTTCACCAGCAGCCTTGCTGAACCGCAATTGATCCTCGAATTTGCGGCGTTGCTCAAACGGTGAGTTCTCCTCCTCGTACGTATTCACCACCTCTTTGCCTTCGATAAAGAGTTCGCCGCGCGCGGCGACGCGCTGCTTGGTCGTTGGGTGGATGAAGGATTTCGAGAGTGGGGAGAGGCATTCGGGTGGGTTTATGATGAAGGTTGGGTCAATGCATTGTGATTCAACGTAGATGCTGCATAGTTCGTCGAGGAGGCGGGGGAGGGTTGGGTTTGTGGGGAGAGGGAGGGAAAGCTCGGTGAAGATCGCGTGGACTTTCTCTAGGGCTTCGGGGGATTCGAGATCGGGTAGTTTGTGGCCGGTGGCCTCTTCGATGCCGATGAGGAAGTCGATGCGGCGGAATGGCGCCGTGAAGTTGGCTGTGGTGGGGGTAAGAGTGCCTGCGATGTTCAAGGCGCGGATGTGGGCTGCCATGCCGGAGAGAAGGTCCTCGGTCATGGTCATTAGATTCTCGAGGTTGGCATATGCCTGGTAGAATTCACAGGTGGTGAATTCTGCGTTGTGGGTTTTATCCAGTCCTACATTTCATCAGCTTTGCTAGACAACGGTGCTGATTTGGTTTCAACATACCCTCATTACGGAACGAAGGCCCAATTTCGAAAATCTTCTCGAATCCACCAACCACCAACCGCTTGAGCCACAGCTCCGGTGCGATTCGCAGCGAGAGCTGGCGGTTTGGGAACTCGGTAGCGGAGGTATAGAATGGGCGAGCAATTGCACCGCCTGCCACAGCCCCGATGATTGGGGTACTGACCTCCATAAAGGACCGGCCGATAAAGAACTGGCGTAGATATTGGATTAGAGCTGCACGGGCTCGGATGATATCGGCCGTCATGGGGTTGGCTAGGAACTGGACATGGCGAGGGTAGGGAGAGGTCTCATGCTCGACATCGCGAACGGGGATATCATGCAGACATGGAGAGAGCAGCTGCGGCAACTCGCTCACGTCGATAGTGAGCTCGCCTCGTCCAGTGCGGTGCGGTCTACCGGTTACAGCTAGAGCAGCATTTAGCGGGCGACACTCGAGTCAAGCTGGACGGAGACGAGACATACAGAAAGCGTCACCGCGACGGAGAAGACGATAGAATCTCTTGAAGTTCTCGGGAGAGACACTGTCTAGACGACGCTGGTTGCACATCACCTGGACTTTAGAGCCGTCTTGCACGATATCGAAGAAGATCAATTTGCTCCCGGCGAGTCTATAGGTACGGATTCTTCCTACTATTCTAAGTACATGGGCATGGTGAAGACCAGAAAGCAAAACCTACCAGAGACAATGACTGTTTCTTCTACTGAATCGTTGTCGGCGAGCTCGGCGTAGCGAGAGCGAAACTCGGCGCAGCTCACTGTGCGTGTGTCCACCGCTAGGCGAGGGTAAGGGTCTGCACAGGCATCTTTAATTTGCTGTACGCGCTCCTGTAAGACCTTCCCTGGCGATGCTGCAGAGCTATTCTTCCGAAATGGCTGTATGGTTAGTCGTGATGTTAAGGTAGTCTGAATGCGTGGTTGTCTAGCGAGTCGCAGTCCTGCACTGGAGATTTTGGGTTAGCAATAGTCGAAAAGATTGTCACATTTGATCCAAAATTGAGGAATAAGCTTTTTCAGATAAAAATCCAGTACGTTCAGTGCCCAAAAGGACATCACTGTAGCGGTTCTAATGCGGGGATAAATCATCATTTAAGGGAGATGGAAATGGTAGGGAACGAGAGAGTCAACAGTAAATAGTAAATGCAAGTCTTACCTGTTGTGCAAGCCAAAGCCAGATAAAGCCCATCTAGGGCGAATTGAGAGCATAGCAAAAGCCAATGGCTCTCACATTGTTGAGAGAAGAAGAGAAGAAGAAGAGAAAAAAAAGAAACGGCAGAACCGAGTTTTTCCACGCGGGTGGCCCAAGCTTCTCCGACCTCCCTCCGAATACGTTGGACTCTGTAGTGCTCTACTCCACATACCTAGCCTCTCATTACCATCTACATCCAATCTATTCATACATCATGTCTTTCCTCTTTGGCGGTGCCCCTAAATTGTCCTCGGCAGAGAAGATCGCTGCCGCCGAGACAGAAGTCGAAATGATCTCAGATATGTTCAACCGGTAAGTCGAGGCTCTTATACCCCGAGCGCTGTATCTCGATTCAGAAACCATAAAACTGCAGAAACAAAATACAGTCTATCTTTGACCTATCCATATCTCGAACCCGTTCTAATTTTTTCCCCTTCGCGATCACAGCTTGACCGAGTCCTGCACCAAGAAGTGTATCCCCGCTGATTACCGCGAAGGCGACCTCAACAAGGGCGAGTCTGTCTGCCTCGACCGCTGCGTGTCCAAGTTCTTCGACGTCAACATCAAGGTTAGCGAGAAGATGCAGGGCGAGGCCAATGCCAACAAGGGCGGCATGGGCTTCTAAACGTGCTGACAACGAAATTTCTTGGGAAGGAGCTCTGGTAGCCTTGGAGCTAGAGAGCTCGGTGGTCTTTGTTTCTATGTAAGGCTATTTGACTGGTTCGGCCTACTGAACCTGGGGCCTGTTTTGAATGATGGTTCACGTTTATGCCATCACGGATGGGAGGCACGATCTCCAGTCTATCTCTGACAATGTACATTATGGTGGATAAGGGAAAAACAGAGAATGAAAAAAAAAGAAGTTATCACACAGGTGTTGTCTTTAGGTCGAGAAGCCCATGGATCGCGCTATCCATGTGGTCCAGGAAGTGTCGTGCTCTTCCTCGCCCTTAATCAGGGCTTTGATTCTCGTCTCGATATTCACAATGTGACGGTCGAAGTCGCTCAGACCGGCCTCCATATCCTCAACTTTGGACTCGAGTACGTGTAGTTCGTAGTCCAATTTGGCGCCCAGCAACTCAACGCGTTTCACGCCATCAGTAAGGTGGTGGCTTTCATCTATGAGGATGTCGCTGGATCGTTCGCGCAGTCTCTGGTATTCGCCGAAGCGTTCCAGGTACACAGAGTTGAGCTCTTCGTGTCGGTCATATAGGAGTTGGTTGAGACTGTCCACGGAATCTACTTGTCGTTCAACCCAAGGCACGGTATGCTGGCTTAGCTCTTGAATCCGCGAGCTGAAGGTACATCCCTCTGAGGCAAGCATGTCTTCTTGGGCAATGGCTTCCTCCAAATTGTCGGTTTCTTTGACGGTTGGTTTCCCACCTAGTGGCTCCCATTTGAAGACCACTTCTTCAACTATGCTGAACGACAGGTGTCGTGTGCAGAAGTTCTCTCGCTGTTCAATCTCACTTTCAAGGCTTTTGAATTCTTCGGAACTTTGCGGCCGCCGCAGGGCCATGAGAGCTATCCCACTGATCGAACCGTCCCAGTCACGTTCGTGATCTGTTGATGCTGCAGTCGACCGAGATATAACGCGTTCCATGTCGGAATCTTCCTCGATGATTGGAGGCTGCTGTGTCGTGGGCCAGTCTGGAGCTTGTATTTCTGGCTCATCTTCTGGCACAGGTTCAATATGGATTTCGGGAGCTTTTCTCTCGGAGTCAGGAATTGGCAACAGCTGAGGATGCTCTTGCTCCTCAATGAGCTTTTCCATATCGTTTGAAACTTTTCTTTCTGACCGGAACCCAGAGACAGTCCGCATTTTTGTTGACGGTGCCTCGTTGTCACTGTCGATGGACGGATGGTATGCAAGATCGTGTGTCAACTGGGAGCTTTCTCGTGAAGAGTGGTGGTGGTGGTGGTGGCGAAGGCCCTGCAGTCCGACTGCATCTTTGAAACGTCCTAACCCTGCTCGCGCGTCTGAAACTCGTCCGCTGACACCCTTCTTTCGATGGTCTTTTTCTTCAACGTTCGGCTCTGGCATCTTCCAAGAACGATCCGGTCCCGAGTTCACTCGCTCAGCATTTAAATCTTCTGTCGAATGCTTCTTGCGACTGCTCCAGACATAACCGCCTTGTTCATCAGTGGTGAACATCATATCCGATCCGGTTCCACGAGTGAACCCCTCTTCGACGCCACTCTTGCGCGGTTTACCAAGCCACAGCCACTTTGCTCTTTCGCCATTGCAGAATTGTACGAAGCTATCAAGATCCAGTGTTTCGATATCGGCAATGCCACCCTTGTCGCGCCCGCGAACCATTCCCATAACCATCTCACCGCCCTGTCCACTGAGCTCGGCCATGGTTGATTTCACTGCATCGGTCCAGCCTTCTGCATTGGCAGCCTTGGCCGTCACACGGTGTAACCGGTCCAATGTGAGTCGGTCCAGTCTTCGTGACCGCTTCATTTTTTGAGATTTTTGGAATCCACCGATTCCTCTTTTTAAATTGATGAAGTCGAATGCGTCTTTCCCGACAGGGGCGCCATAGGCATGTAGTCGATTTCGAGCTCCGAGCAACGTTCCCAGCAACGCAGCCACACTGGTGGGACCCAAGCTGTTGTCACTTGGCTCGATGTTATACAGGTCTGTCCCAATATCTGTCCACCAATCGCTAACAGCTGCCTCGGTAACATCACAAAGAAGTCCGTCGACATATTCTGGGGCTAGCTTGTCAAACACCATCAAGGCAATCTGGCACTGTCGAACCAATTCCATAACTGCAGTGTATAAAGGAACCCTCTCACTCGTTCGATAAAGCTGATGAAACTTGGCTTCGGTCGCCGCTGAGGGATGCTGAAGCTTCAAGCCCGCACGGCCTGCGCACCCAAGTCTCTTGAGGTTCTCATTGACAACAAAGTCCTCCCGGTGATTCTTGATATCGCCGTCGGGTATTGAAATTAGACTCAGGGCAGATGGGAATGTGGCCATATCCGTAACCATAATTGTCCCTAGTGGTGTTTCCTTCCTTCTGGCGTGGCATTGCTTCATGGCGTCGAAGTACATCCGCAAGCGAGGCGACCATGTAGCCTCATTAGTCGGAACACTCAGTACTCCCACAATCACTGTATGGGAAGGGTCACCGGTATAGGTCGAGATGATGAATGTAGGATGCACGCGAGAACAGGCCCATTGCTCGACTATATAGATTTCATAACCTTGCAGCGATACACGTCGCTGGAGCACATCGGTCGAGGGGTCTTCTTCGAGGTATCGGAGGGCAACCGCATCGGTGAACACAATTCGCTGGTGACCTTGCGGTGAGGGACGTTCGGGTCCAGTTGCGTGGGAAACGACGTCCGATGGCATAGAGTCGGTACGATCGGCTAGTGGGACATTCAGGGCGTTGGCCTGCATGGTGGCTAGTCTCCTGTCCAGCTTTATCTGAGAAAGGGACAAAAATAAAAATAGCGCCGATCATTTAACCCTAAACCAGGTCACTTCTCCTAAGCTCAAATGCGACGGCAGTGCCTTCCTTCGATCCTCCTGAACGTCTGGTCAGGTAAGTACAATTTTGACATATCCAGGTAATGGGGTTTGAGGCATAATATGAGCCAAAGAAACAGGAGAAAGGCAAATGTAATGTCGGCGAACGCCTCAAAACCCGCATAAAGGTGTAGAAGTGGCGACGTCATTCCCGTACCTTATATTTGGACAGATCATGTGACCATGGTTGTCTCGTGTTGTGGCCTCAGGCATCAACAGCCAGATAGATGTGACCCTCAGAATACAGTCCATTCCTCTCTTCCGTCTTCTCTGGTGGTACTTCGACGTTCATTAGTGCATCTGATCAAACTGGCCATACTGAAATTCAGGTTCATTCAGGGGCCATTATGCGAATCAAAAGCCCAACAAAACCATCACCCCCAACCACCCTGAATCGACCGAATGGAGCAATAAGAAATTCAGAAATTCCGTCATCTGAGATTTAGCCACAGGACCTGAGCTTGTTTTACCGAGCTGATTGAGTTCAATTCTGAGTGTCATATGCTAGAACGTTTCTCTTAGACCTACTACCACAGTACTACTAATGCCCTGGGGTAAAAGCCTATGAAAAAGGGCTTCATTGCACAAGTCCTTTCATGAGGAATTCGTACTTTAGCAAAAACCTTCCCCCAAGTGTACCACGAGCATGATAAATTTCCCTAGAACATGCTGCTGTAGATCCTCTTCTCTTGAGAGTAATCGAGCCCAAAAAGTGGGAAAGGCATGTGGTATAGAGATTCGGACAGAGCCAGCAAAGTCTTGATGCCGCAGAGGAAGATCTGGACTAGTCGTTCCATTATATGCTGCCTGCGCGGCCATTACGAATGCTGGCGAGGGCATCATACCAAAAAGAAGACTCGAGCATACCTGGTTCACCACTGAAAGTGCCTCATCCACTCGCTCAACGCTATCAAGCAAATTCCATTGATCGTAGCCATGCTCGCTCCAAGTTGTATCAGCCATTGGGGATGTGCCAGCGAAAATTCGAAAACTTGTGCTTTGTAACTGTTTAATATCTGCTCGGTACTGGCATTTCGCTGAGGATTATTCCCAGACCCAAGAGCCTCCCACATACGATCATGAGGGATTCCAGTTCGACTCCCAGCAGGATCCCAGACCGAAGAGTCGATCTGGAATTAACTGTTGTCGTCAAGAAGGTCTCCGGGACTACTCTCATATCTGAAATATATGTGGTTCCATCCCGGGTCTCTGTTCATTTTCCTCTAGAAAACTCCAACAAGCGCGGCAAATACTGCAACTCTAGGCCATGTTTAAAAACCTTTACTGGAGTAGGATCGTTAGAATTGTCCGTCGTCGTAAGATCCTCGCAATTACATGCATCACTAGCAGCATGATGCCCTGTATTAGAGTTCTGGGCGAGGATATCGGCACTATTGTTACCGTAGTAGTAGGCAAGGGATTGAAGAAGGAAGAAGCTTCCTCCATTTGCACCCCCGACAGAGTACGGACGCCGACCCCCCGGGGTACGCTTGAAGATATCAGCAATGTCCCGCTTCGCATTTTGAATGCCGTACTGATCGGAGTAAGGGCTGCCAATTTCAGGGTCTATCAGTAAGGTGGGATCAAGGATCAACTTTGATCAGTTCTTGAGGGGTCAAGTAGACAAGTGGGATGGATCAAGTATTCCCCAGGTATGCCACAAAATCTCCCAGATCAAAGAGGGCATCTTCCCTGGTATCAGGGGTATCTCTGTTTGCATCAGGAGCATCGCATCCAGACTGGTGCAGAACATTCACCTGACCGTTGGTTCCAACTGGATGATCTGCGATACGATCCCAGCGAGGAAGATCGCCGGTTTGAACAACACCCAATGTCACACGGCTGTTGGTCCAGGTGACACTACCACCGTCTTTGATTCGCAAAAAGCTGTCGACTTGGTCTGGAACTTGGAAATCAAGATTAAGCAATGTCGACTTGAAGGCATTGAGGCTAATGTTCATCTTGCTCTCAAATTTCAGCTGGAGTACGAGCACAGTCCCAGTATCTCGCTTCGTATTTGACCTTTTTTCAGACGGGTCTACAGAAAGACCTCCCGAGGAAGGATTCCTGCTAACATCGTTCGTCACATGTCCATCGGGATTCCCAAGCATGAGCGGTAGATTGGACTTTGTATACTGGCCATTACCAGCAATGACATTTGCCGTAAACTTGGTGTCAAGGGAATGGCCCTTCGCGACTAAGCTCGCTTCAACATTGAATGAAGGTCCCAGAGCACAGATTCCCGGGGCCCTTGAAAAGCCGCTTGGATTGAATGTTGGAGTCCACTTCAATGGCACCACGTACATCGACATCAATCGAGCCCTAGAAGTGAAGCTTCGAATCAAAGAACCCAGATGTCTCTTCAATATTGAACGTGGGCAAGATCGTTCCCACAAAGGAGTAGCCAAATTTCATCTCTTTGGAGACATCCCCGCCTACCTCGATGCTCACCCAAGTTGAGCTTTAGCATGATTCTGCCTTGCTAGAAATAATGGTATTCCTGAAACCGCCGTCGTGCAACGATGAGAGACCGGGGACATCACGCAGGGCGTCAAACTTCGTCTTCCAATCCTCGGCATGGAACTATAGAACCGTTTACGTCCATCTCACGTGGCTTTAGCGGGTTCGCCTTGGGTGATTGATTTCCAGTAGTTGAACTCATTGGAATAATCAATGCGGATGTAGATGTCGCCTGAATCACGCTTGATTTGCTTGAGATCACTCAACTCAAGGTCATATACCAAGGAAGGTCTAGAGAAAGATCGTTTGATATGAGAAGGCAGATCTTGGCTCTCAGATCGCTGTATCTTGTGAGCAACAGCATATGTTCCTGCGCCACAGCTGTCTGGCATATGGAGAATGGTTCCTTCAACCACAACCTCTCCTATATTGCAGTGCTCTTGGTTTTCCGGGCAAACCAGTCTGACTGTACTAGACCCGTATTCTGAGATATTTCCACATTTCAGAATAATTAAATCGGACACATCGCATCGCTTGAGGTTGTTGACAGTACCAGGGGGGCTGTCAGATAATTACCATTCCAAATTTTTGCTGGCTCGGCTCATTCACACTTTGCAAGCAGAGCTAGACTCTTATTTTGGGTACAACGACAACCTAGCTGAGGAATTCTCGTATCTAACATCAGGTTCCTCCAGTTCCAACTACCCAGTCACTTCACCACCGGCGTATACTGTTGTTCATTCAGCGACAGCTAGCATCTCTATTACATCAACTGTCTCTTCGGGTTCCTCTTTGGCCACCGCAACTGTCGATTGCGCTGACCAGTACACCATTCAGGCAGGTGATACATGCTATTCAGTCAGCAGGAAATTTAATTCATCTACACAAGAGCTGCGTTACAAAAAACAATCTGCCGGCTGATGATGTTGGCTTTCCTTCTGCAGGCACTTTGTTCTGCCTCCCTGAGACGTGTGATATTTACACGGCTTCAAGAAAGGAGCCGTGCCCACTGTGTCCTCATCAGCTGCAATTATCACTGCGCCTGTCCCCACAGAACTTGCCAATGGGAGGAACACTCGATGCGCCAAGTACCACCCAGTAGCATCCAACGAGACATTCAGTTCAATGACTGTGAAGATGGGTATCAGTCTGGTAGAAATTTTTTTTTGTAACCTAGCAGTCAACTCATGCAGTTGCAGCAACCGAATACCAGGAGAATCATGCTGTGTGAAAGCAGTTGGAGACATCAGCACTTATTCCGGCTATGTGGGGTATCAGTCAGGCTAAGTGTATTGCACTATTGCCAGTTCGTTTGGCTACTACCACCCTCCCTCCCGACACCTACTTGGAATTCCCTTCGGCCATGGATGCGACCAGTACCTCCACGAGCCTGTCCGCCTATACCGCTCTGCCTGTTGCACCGGGAACGGTATCTAGTTTTACTCAGTACGAGCGATATTACAACCCAGGAGCTAATAGGTCCAATGCTATGAACCCATGTGTCTACATTGCTCACTTCATCGGGATCACAATCGACCAACTGTTGGAGCTGGACCCTTCCCTCTCAGATACTCAGATAACGACTCCAACCCCAGCACTTGCTCCTTGCAAAAGGGCTACCGCTACTGTGTCAGATGATTGAATGGCATCAAGTCAGTCAATACCTTTTTCCCTCTATCTAGTTGACAACTACCACTGGCATGACCACCTTCGCTCGTACCGAAATAAAAGATGCTTCATTCCAATGCGATCTGGCATGGTATTTGAAAGGTGCCATACATTATCGCCTTGCATGACTTCTAGAGGTGGAACTTAAGTGCGCGGATTGGTTGCTGGTTGCTGGTGTCTTTTAATTGCAAGCTGATTGCTACGTTTGTGATGCCAGTTCATACAGCCCAGATTCAATGATAGCTGCCTGTCTTAGACTGGGCCGGATATGCAGGCTACCAGGCAATGCCATCTCCCTTTTAAAACGAATCTCCGTTGACCGGCATGACCTAGAAACCCCCTGATTTACTTGTGTGAGTGGAACTAGGGTCCAGTCAGGGTATTTTTGACAGACATCTAGGGGTACCACAAGATAAGGTGTGATCAATATATACAACGCTCTATCTAAGACAAAATCCGCCCTTTTACCAATCTATGCGGACAAAGCGAACTAAACATAGTACGCAATTTATGCAAAGTACGCTAAAAAAGGGTTTTCTATGCCCCATTTTAAAGTAATTATTGCAGTATAGTATTCGACATGATCCAATTCAAAGAATGATCTAACGGTCTCGAATGGCTTTATGTGCCTGACAGATCCTATTTTGTGATATTGAAGATACCTCGTAAATGTCAACCCGCCATAAGAGCAAGTCAAGGAATCGGCTCGAAGCCATCAGGTAAATCCCCGCCCATGATCCAGCTCATCACCGTATCCGCAAAGAGCTGTGGATCATCCGCGTTCCACGGATGACGCATGCCCCGGTGCTGCACCAGCCTACTCCCGTTGTCGGGCATCGTCGTCTCGAACAGCCGGCGAGAATGGCCAACATTGTCGGCACCAATTCCTTCTCTCGTTGCGGCCACCACCAAGGACCGGGCTGTGATAGGCTCCAAATCTCGGGACGAAAACAGCATGTTGAAGATATCACACGTCGTAGATAAGGACCCTTGCCCGCTACAGAACCGCTCCCATTCCACGGTCGGCTTCTGCACGAATCCGCTGGTCCGTTGCGCGGCATAGACCAGGTAGGGCAACATAGGCGAAACCAGGTTTCGCGCAAAGAGATTGAAGCCGGACACGATCAAGGTTTGGACACGCTCGGGATACTGCGCGGCCATAGCAGCGGCGACATGCGCACCAATGCTGATGGCGACCACATGAGCTATTCCGTCATGCGCTTGGGTTTCGATCAGACTTGCAAGACGACGAGCGGCGTCGTAGATTTCCAGAGGTTTGGTCTCAAGCGATCGTCCGTGGGCAGGGAGGTCGGGAATAAGCACATGGTGGCCTTGGGCGACTAGAAGCGGCCACACAGCGTCCCACTCCTGGCCCTCGGAGAAGCCGCCATGAACAAGGAGAATCGTCGCTTTGTTGGCAGATAGGTTGTGCGATGCATGTGAAATGGTATCTGACATTCCGATGGAAAATGTTGAAAATCACGATTTGAACCGGGGGTTTCAGGTGCGGAAGGGAAAGCGCCAAGCTAGTGTCCGTTCAGCTGGTCGTAGCCAACGGCGAAGCGGGAGTGCGATTCTAGGGGCGTCAACCTGGGACATGAGATAGCTGCTCACTTCGAATCATCACGTTGCTGGTTTTGTTCAAATGTTTTTGTTCTCGAAACATGACCCGTGTGAAATCTCGTCTTCGGCTCCAGCTTGATCAACAACTTGACTGAACTCGAGATGGACACTTCGATGAGGCCAACCGTGGCCTCGGATTTTCGAGCGTTTGACTTCATGGTGCTCTTCGGGGAGGCTACTCTCGGATTATTGCCATGGTGCGTTTTCCTTGCAGTTTTTCTACTACAAAGTCAGACATCTATTCCGTCAGCCAGCGGCAGCTCTTCTGTTTTGCCAGAGTGCAAAGTTTGTCGAGCATCATCATGGACGAAGTCACGAGCAAGTAGTACCACCATGCCTCCTAGTGTAGGGCCTCTTCTCAACTTGAATTGTACTATCGCCGACAAGGGAAGCCAAGAGCACATTTCCTGAATCATTGCGGAAGAACTCCATGCTACGACGGTGATTAGGATCGCACATCAATCAGAGCAGATGGGCCACTTCAATCGAATTAGTGTCCTTGCTCGCGGATAAATTGTCGAGCAGGGGATCCCGCAGGATCGGTTGGGTCGGAATGACTCCATCTTCTGAAGGGAATTCTGCATCAACGCGGAGAGGTTTCCATGTTATCTGATTTCAAGTAGTTCTAAATGTACCACACTTCGTCAAACTGCAGAGAGAGTGTCAAATCACTCTGCTGTGAATTCATCCCTTGCCTCCTCTGGATTCGCACGGTTACTTGGAAGCACGGAATGCTAGGCACATTGTCGAGCTCTGCCCTTGAGATGGACCTCCATTGATCTACGCGGCATAGTCCGTGCCTCGTCCCCACCAACATTCGATTTCCGGTCTGAAGTAGCTCCCCAAGTACCCAACAAGAGGTTGCCTTGATACCTAGTCATGTCTAGCCACATACATCTTAAGAGACACTGAAAATGAACAGCCAAAAAGTCCAACTAGAAGGATCGCAAGGCCGTATAAGCGGCCGACTATTCATTTGTCGAATTCCAAAGAGAAATCAGTAGTAGATGTTGCTATCTCGGGGAGGTCAATCAGGTGTGTTTAGAGTTAGGATTCCTCACAAATTGGAAGGAAAGTCTTGGTATTCGTTTCAAGCGCACAGAAACATATATACAGTTTCCAAAGATCGCCAACCAAACCGACGCTATGAGTTCCAGCCAAGCGCCTATATAAAAATGTCAATCAAGCCTTGGGTTAAGGAAGCAAGCCTGTGCTCAAGGCCGTGCTCATCTCAAGTGGTTGATAGCCCTTTGGATGGTGGAGATTCCTTTGAGCAGACGGTACAAGATCGACGATCAAAGAAAGAATATACCCCGTGAAGACAAAAGCGATGACTGTGAGGCAAATCAGTACAAGGCGAGGCAGCGGAGAGGTGGAGAACTAAAAGAGATACTGACCCCATTCAAGGGTAGCCGCTGTGTTGTTCTGCTGGTAGTGGGTGTGCTCGGTGATGCGGAAGACGATAATGAGGGCAAGCTCGACGACAATGAACGAAGATTTGATAACGAAACTTGTCATGAGCATAGGCTCCCGCAGAGCATGTGCAATTCCAAGATAGATATAATCCAAGCACATCAAGGCCGCGCTGAGTAGGAACCCGACACTGGGACTGTCAGTTCGTTGTAATAGGTGTGTATATCGTTCCAGATGTCTTGGCGAGGAACATACATGAAGATCGTTACGCAGACATCGTGCAGGAAATGGTGGGCGATGTTATCCAAGACGGAGAGCATAATCAAGCCGATGCTCCCGACGACGGTGAAAAGGAACGAACCGTGCGTGCACGCTTTGTTGATATATGATTTGTTTTGGACATGTTGATAGAAAGAAAGATTCAAAAGAAGGACGGTGGTGATAGAGCCGATCATGAACAATGGCTTTAATTCCTGGGCTCCAATATCAGAAATGAATCTATTGCCTGTTAGTTGAAATCTCGGCATGGTGGGAATGATCAAAAGAGGCAAGTGCTCACGGGATATTCTGACCGGGCTTCATCAAGCCATATCTTGGTTCACCGATCATAGTCCAGTGTCCTAGCATAGTCAGTAGCATTGCTAACTCCAGCGTCAGATCATAGTTCAATGCGACCGTCGACATTTGGAGAACTCACCTAGCCAGGTGGATGCGGCTACCGCCGGGTAGACCCAGGATGGGGGTGACATTTGGGGGGGGGGTGCGTATAGCTAAGGAGTGTAATTTGGAGCAGCAGTCATGATATTGTTATAGCGAATGTATCAAAGAGAGCGGGCTGGTGAAGTGGGATACCAGCCACGCCTCTTTGCTCGAACAGTTGACAAAGAGAGAAAGTAATCCTTACGTTGGGAGTCAGGCAACGAGAGATTGTGCCTGTCGATCCTTGCTCTTCTCCCATGACGATTGTCCGTTATGGAATGTGGGTCTACTAAGGAATTGATCACCCCTTGACGGTTGTTTCGTGTAAAAAGGCATATGTTTCGGATTCATACGTGAAAAAATAGAAGTGGGTTCAATGATTACAAAATTAGGACAAAGACGTATCAATGTCACTTTCCTGGAACTTGGAGGGTAGATGATGAAATGCCTGGACTGATGTCTGAGCCTGGAATTAAAAAAATTCCAATGATCTGATACTCCACCAAGTTCCAAAAAAAAACCCTGAGTCGAGAAACGGGTTAAATATCCCCTCGGTACTTTACTGGCGGTGGCCGGGGCTGGGGGCATTTTCGACGACGTTGGAAAAACTAAGGACCTGATACGAAGCACGGAATACACCGTTAGGAGTACGATACCCCAGATGTGGAGGTGGAAGTAATCCCCATGGTCGTTTTCTCATGGTCCCCATCACCTGTAGGGTGTCAAAGATGCATTAGCAGACAGAAATATTTTCTTGGCGAGCCATGCCGGTCTCGAAGCCAAATGTGAGACCAGAATAGCCGCCACTTCCGTGAGTGCGAAAGTATCCGCAGCACAATTCCAGGTACGTTTCTAGACCGATGTGAACGGAGGTCAATAAGCAGGGAGTTTCTGTCACTTCGACATCATATGGGCATATGCGAGAATTATGACCGGGTGGGGGAGATGGAATCTAGGATGCTTCCCACGACGTCGATACCCACAATGAGTGATCTGGCTAGGATGTTGTTTCAACCGCATGGCAACTTCACGGTCGGCAAAGACGGGATCTGATTTCTTGTTGGAGAATGCAGTAGAGGTACCTATACAGACAGCAGCTCAGAGAAGTTCCAGTGATACGTGTTAGTGAGTTGAATTCCATCCCAGATTGGCGCCCAAGTTGGAGCGCCATTGAAATGAAGGAGTAAGGCTTATTGGTACCGTAGCATCTATGTATGCACCGGCCTCGAGTGAAGGTGGATAATGCAACCACAAGGGATATATGGACCCCCTGAGACATTCTCCAGCTCAGACCGGAAGTGGATTACGTCAGTGGGGCATTATTGGGGTGTGCCGAAATAAATTTGAATGAAAATGATAGCACCAAAGGCTATGAAGGCTATGACGACCAATCAGAAACACAGCACAAAAATTTTGCCGGCAGCGTGGCAAATGGAGTGACGATCGCACCAATGATGAATGGGAGATCGGAAAAGAGTGGAGTGGAAAAGATCCAAAGAGGGACGCGATCCAGAACTGAGAGACGCGACAGTCAACATCAACACACGCGTGATATGATTTTGGATAACCATTTTCAAAAATACAAGAATCTTCTAAGTATCTCTTCTCTAAGAGCCACCGGCAAGGGTAACAAGTAATGAAAAGACTCAAGATGCTTGAGGGTGACCAAAGGCTCCCATCTAAGGATCAAGTTCAACTCGAGGACCCAAGAGTCAAGGAGTTGAGGCAGTGTGGTTTCAAAAATTCCCAAGTGTGCGATTAGGCTCACTTGAAGCAGTCAATTTGGTAGTTTTCAACTAGCAAAAACACGATCTCGGATGTCTCCTCACTGATACGTGTAAAACCCGTGCACTAGGATGAAGAAGAAAAGAAAAAGAAGAGGAATGTCGGGGGCAGCAGCGGCTATTTATATTTCTTTGGTGGCTGAAGGACCAGCAAATGAAAGGTCGGTAACGATCCCGGATTAACAATATCCCGTTGGACTTTGCCGGAGACAGGTCGGAGGATTGTTATTCCGAATGTAGGAGGGAAAATTGGAGCCGAGGCTGGCCTTCCCTTGCTCCGGACAGGATACGGAGTACAGGGGAGCGTGTTGAAAGGCTACTATGCAAAAATGTTCACCTGCATGTAGTGTATGGATGTAAATTTACTTTGAAAAATATCATACCTCATTGTTCATGTACCAGAGCTAGTGTTCCAAAATCATTCATTCATCCGGATAGAGGGGTGAATCACGTGGAAGAACCCCCGGGAACAGCTTGTCTCTATGTTTCATTTCAACCAGTTTCCTCTCAACAGGATTTTCTTTGTAGTGGCCTCGATTTGAAGCAAATATTTCAAGACCTGCCTCATTATCTTATATATCGCATCCTAGTGAGAAGGCGCCGAGATAAAAGAGCTCTTATCTGAAGGTCTCCACATGGCGAGACTCGGTAACTTCGCCAGTCACCTCCGAGCCTGTCAAACGAAGCCCATCAGCAATGGATGTAGTGCAGAAAGAACACAGCCGACTCGTCAAGAGAACTGAAGGTGCTCAAGGTATCAAGAATGTCCAGTCTGCAATTGATTCACTACAGTCTGCTCGCGAAGCCATAGCTGCTGGTCGGTAGCCCGCACATGCGCCCCCGCTTGGTTCCCCAACTGACCGACACAGATCCATCCACTGCCTCTGCCACTCTAACCAACCTTCAGAGCTCGGTCAAATCTTCCTTTGACTCTATCAATGACAGCTTGAAAGAAACTCACAGTGGTCTCAACAAGTACACCAAATCTCTAGATAAGGTATGAAGAACAGACTAACCATTCATGCGTTGCCGCTAATCGAACCTCGGGAACAGTTGTTTAAGGATCGACCGCTGCCTAGTACTGACGACGATGGCCTCTCTACACACGAGAACCTGATCAACCGTGCCATCGCTATGCATCTCCTTCGCGAAGGCCAGTTCGGCGTGGCCGCCACCTTCCTCTCTGAGATTGCCGAGCAGAAAGCTACATATCCAGTTTCCCAAAATGGAAACGGTCCGACCAATGTACAAACCAGCCTGCTCGATATGGACGAAGTCCCATCGACTGAGATCCGCAAACAATTCGCCTCAATGTATTACATCCTCCAACAACTACAAGAGAACAGGAACCTACTGCCTGCAATCGAATGGTCAAGAGAAAACCGCGAGGCGCTGGAAGCTCGAGGCAGCAACCTTGAATTTGAGCTCTGTCGACTACAATATGTATGGCTGTATCATGGCGGAGCCAACAGCAAGGGAGCCGCAGGCGGCTGGCTAGCTGCGCTCGAGTATGCGCGGCGGGAGTTTCATGTCTTCGTGCCTCGATATTTGAGAGAAGTTCAGCAGCTAGTCGGGGCAATGGCGTATTCGCCTAACCTCAGTGGGTCCCCATATGCAGCTCTCTTCAACACCAGCTCAGCTTGGGATGACGTAGCTCACTTCTTTACTCGCGAGTTCTGTTCGTTGCTGGGTCTCTCAGCAGACTCGCCTTTGTACATTGCTGCTACGGCGGGTGCGATCGCTCTGCCAACACTATTAAAGCTACAAACAATTATGAAGTCGAAGCGGACGGAGTGGACATCTGACAATGAGCTTCCGGTAAGAAAACCACTACTCTGTGTACAAACAAACGCTAACATTTGTATTTGCCAGGTCGAAATACCCCTCCCTCCCCAATATCTCTTCCATTCTATCTTTGTGTGTCCGGTTTCAAAGGAGCAGGCGACCGATGAGAACCCTCCTATGATGATGCCATGTGGACATGTTATTGCGCAGGAATCGTTGAAACGCCTAGGCAAGGGCAACCGGTTCAAATGCCCATATTGTCCTAGCGAAAGCCACCCCACAGACGCCATGAAAGTATTCCTATAGTGTAGGTCTTTTCTTTCCTTGTTCTTTTTCTTTCTTTGTCTCCATATCTCTAGTTATGTTCTTTCCACGGCAAACGGCGATAGGACGGGTAACTTCGGGGACACCGGGTCTTGTCAAGGGTGTTTAGCGATGGCGTTCAGGGGCTCATTTGTTGCAACGTGGAGTTCCCAATAATCAGTATTCAACCAAAGCCAGGCGGCATGGAAGCTAAGCCGGTATTTACAAAGCCGGATTTACAGAGAAGACGGGTGTGTCCCCTCATTCCATGACAAATTTGCCAGTCAGAATCAAGAACAAGCTGCCCAAGGGCCGCAACTTAATCTTCCATCCAGACGAAGGGCCTGTACCGATGCAACCCACGTAGTCGATTCAAATTTCACATTCGCACCTATCGTAAATCACACAGCTGTAGCCCAAGAAATGCTGAGGCGTGCCTGCATCGGCACCATCACGGAAATAGAATGCACACCACCATACGCAGGACACTCCAGCGCTACAGCTTTAGCAGCCACACCAAGCCCAATACAGGATGCCTGCGCCCTCGGACCAGAACCCCCTATCGAAGAGGTCTTCAACAATGGCCTCACGATTTATGGATACAGCTGCCAAGGTCACTAGTGTGCTTTTGCAGTACCATGTTTAGGCAAAGCCAGTCTCCGTAGATATGGGCTGGACCATGGATGACCCAAAGCCATCCGAGGTCGGATTAAACCCGAGCGCCACGATGAAGGTCACTGCCCCGCTAACAGACTGCATATCTATGGACAGCGACGGTGGATGGGTACCGCTATGGCACAAGGCTAAGCGATGAGGGCGTATACCTTGAGTCCAAACCCCACACCGTTGTGGACTGAAATTTCCTATTGACCGACAGACATGGCGCCGTACTGGTAGGCCGAACGCCAAGGTCTATATTATTAGCCAAGTTCTTCTTAAAGCACAAAATCAACCTCGAATACGATAGTCCTAAGACAAAGCCGTACAAGAACAACCTAGACCCTAAGCCAGTTAATCCCGTCATGAATAAAGATGATAATCTCCTATCCTCTCCCCAACAAAAGTTCAATCACCGGCAGGCCAAGCAAGATACACAGACAGTAAGCCTAGTGCGTATCTTCCCTTCCAAGTTGGACCAACCTCAACAGCAGACTGCGGACCCTGAGTTCCTCCAGATCCCAGAGAGACTGATCTCGAAATCTTTGGCCTTAGATGGCTGTGACCATGCCGACTGTCTCATGGTCGGGAAGATAGGTTAAAATCGGTGAAACATCAGATCCGGGTCTGCTCCTTACTGCTGCGACATTTCAACGTAGGTCCATGCAAAACTGGACGGAGCACACCAATTTTGTTCAAGCTTGATTATTCGAACATAACCAAGTCCAAAGGTTACTCATCAACCTCACTGTCTCCAAGGCTGTTTCCCAATGGACGTTGTAATTCTTACAAGACAGAAGATCAGAATTAGCCTCCGATGCGAATCATCGGCAATCCACAACCATTTCCCAAATAGGCAATCGCAATTTCCTTTGTCTGAATCGCCACATCTGATTGGCCACATTCAGGCCCGTGACCACGCGTCAATTTGGCGACGAAAAAAAACCCCTTTACGCGGTCGAAACTTGTTCTGACGCGTCTTTCACTGAGCTCTATCCCTATACGCAGGCTAATTGGAGCTACAGTAGGTCATTCGTATACAGACCGTTCTATGCCCTGTAATCTCCATTACAATATAAAAGTACTCCGTACTCCAATATGACTTGTCTCAGGAACAAACGGGAGCTAGCAGTCCCCTCTATATTATATAAATAGCACAATCCCCCCTGAATCCATCCACTGTCTCTGTTTTCCCCGCCAATCTCATCATTATCAAGATCATAGTAAATTAGCAATGTCGTCCAAAAGAACACCAGAGAGTCCAATTCCTGGCCGGTATCGCGCGACAAAGGCTTCAGCTTTCACGCTCCAGTCGCGCAGGATTGCCCGCGAGAGGACGAAAGACAAAGAACGTGACAGTTCTGGCTCCGGCTCCGGCTCGATTGGCCTTAAGACTCGAGGAGTCGAGCGGCGTCGAAGATTCGATAAACCCCCAGATATAACGTAAGTCCTGTCCACATAATTTGGATGTGTCTCCATCTCCATCTACATCATCTACACCAGTCCACAAACGCAACCCCTAACTCACCTCCAGAACACCCCCAACAAGCCCAATCGTACTGATCCGCGTGGGCCCCGAAAAGCGCCTTTTCGCCGCACACGAGGCCATCCTCTGCGCATCACCCTTCTTCGCCGCCCACTGCACAGCCCAAACGCCCAGCTCGAATGCGTCACGGCCCGAACTCGGCCAACAACCACCAAGCAAGCGCATCGACCTTCCAGAAGAGCAAGCTGAAGTCCTCTCCTGCGTTCTCGAGTACCTCTACAAGGGCGACTACTACCCGCGTCTGCGACACAACAGCCGGACTCGGACATGGGAGCTGGAGGACGCAGATGCGGGCGTTGGTGCCGGCGCTAGCGGGGAACTGGGACAGGCGACGGCGACGGTGTTTCACCATCGGGCGCAGGGGGTTATATTGCGGGATACGGCTATTTAGTAAGTGATTCCCTCTTCCTTTTTCTTTTTTCTTTTCCTGGTTCTGGTTGTTGTTTATCCCTGCAGAAGATGCATATGGATGGATTATGCTAACGGATGGTTTTTCCTCTCCAGCTGCGCAGCTGAAACATACAACCTCCCCCATCTCCAGCGGCTCGCGCTGCGCAAACAGGGTCTACACACTGGGATCCAGTGCAGTACAATACTTGCGAGTGCCCGGTTCGCATATGCCAACACGCCGGATACGGAGTCGAAGTTGCGGGCGCATTACCTTGCGCTGATAGTGCGGTCGAGGAGCACTTTTATGCGTAGTGGGACTATGCAGGCGGAGATGGAGCGTGGTGGGAAGTTGTTTTTTGATCTTTTTGTTGCTTTGTGTAATCATATGGTAAGTCTACTTTGGCATTTGGGAAGGGATGAGGCGCTAATTTGGTTTCCGATTAGGATGATTATGCTGATCAATCGGTTGAGAGTTCAGCTGTTACGACTCATTGTTAGGGATGCGTTAGGATTCTCGGTATGGGTGGTAAGTTAGTTGGCTTTTGACTGATTGCGTAGTTTCTATTCTATATCGCTGATAGCAGTTTTATACCCGTGTATTACTTATGTTTCAATATTTACACAATGGACAGAATGTTTAAAGTCAAGTTCTCGAATAAATTGATTCATAAGTTCGTAAAGATAGAATCGAATATACCATAGCTAACCCAATTCTGGGGTTTCTCATATATCAGGCAAGCTTGGACTGGATCCATGAATGACACTGATGAAGCTGGCGCTTCAATCCGATCAATGACCAAGTATCATGTTGCTGGTATGCAATGTGCATCGCGTCAGGCCAAAATTCTTCGGCGGTGACGTTACCGGATCAGCCTAAGTATCCTGGTGTGTCGAATATTGTGGCTATATAATTGTAAGCGATAGGCGGATGCATACCTGAGGACTCAAAGGTTCCGGTAATCAACGAGGTAGTTGTCTGGACATTAGACGAAATGGGGTTTAAACACGCTGCAGTGCAGTGCCACCAAGAAGCGCCGTTAGACACCTGTACCCGGGAAAGCGCTACCCCCCTTGCTCAAAACAATGATGCCTCGATCACGCGCAATGTATCCTTTCATGAGGCCCTAAGGAAACGACATGTCAGAAAGCACTTACGGATTGACCATACTTGCCAGCCTACCTTGTAGATGAGGTTGGAGAGTAAACACTCCACCTCATCAATATCAATGCGAGATCGACCACTTATAGAAGTGCCCACACGGAGAGCTGCTGCAAATTCATTCACATGGACACGGGTACGCCGAACTGGAGATTGGCCCTCCTTAGGTTCGTCGAAACCACCAGCGAGGAAAACTTTTCGAAACAGGTTGCGCAAGGCAATGTCGCGCCCACGTTCTAACGGCAGGTAAATACGTCTCTTGACAAACTCTTCCTCGCCATCAGACATGGCCTGATCAAATCCAACCAAGTCACCTTTTCGGATGCAGTTTGACAGAGACCGGAAAAGCTTCTCAAGGCGAGGAAATGGCGCAAGGAGCTCCTTGCTGGGGAGCGTATGTGTGGTCACGAGGTGACAGGGAATGAGGTAGGTAAGAATCAATCTACCAGTGGTTAGTGGAAATTTGTCTGAGGCTGAAAGGCTACTTACTCTCGATTCTTGATTGCATCTCGATGGCACATCTTCCAAGCCCATGTCAGATGTTCCTCGGCCTATGTTTCAAGTGGTCAGTCCCGATAATGGTCGATGAAGGCGGCTCTTTCTAATACCTCTGTATAATTCTCATCCAAGAAGTGGATGACCCCAACGTAATATTCAAACGTGACGATGTGAGATTTGGGGAAAGCCTCAGGAGGGGGAAGATCGGCCGACGAGGCTTTGATGGCACGAAGCAAGTTCTTGGTAAGACCGACGGAGTTGATCTAAAGAAGAGATATTAGCTTTTTGCTAGGGACAAGCAAGGTCAACTTCTGGTACCTTGAAATATGTCTTGAATAGGAGATTGGTCATGTTGTAAATACCCCACTTGCGGGACTCTTCGAGGGGTGCTCTGGATCCGGTCAGCAATGGAACAACTCAAAGGAGACAACCATATCCATACCTATCACTCAGGCACAAAGTGAACATCCTGTTGATGACCCGAGCAGCCTCCTCCAAGTTCGCATTCTTCTCAACATCAGCTGCGATATCATCCTGGAACCCAAATCCAGCGGAGCCTTGAGATGCTGCGTCAAGATCGGCATTGATCGCAAAAGTACGCAAGTACTTCCCGACTGTGTACAGGCATGGCAATGTCCAAGCCGGAATGCAGGCAGAGCCCGAATATCCCCGGATGAGGGCATTGGCGACTTTTTTCCAGGCATTGAAGACGGTAATGGCGCTAGCACCGGGAAGGTGATCTTCACACTGGTGTATTTCGCCTATTGCTTCCCAGTAAACAACAAAGATGTCAACCCAGGCAGCCTGTTCAGCCTTTGGTAATTTCAGACTTTTCCCGTGGAAGAGAGCGTAACTGAGATCCTTGGATATGTATTCGGCATTAGAGAACTGGTAGAAGTCACGCAGCCGATTGCGATCTTCAGGCGGCGCGATCGGGGTCAGCACTGCAGCTAATTCCGGGCCGGACCCGTTGAGGTATGCGTTCTTAAACGCGGGCGCAAGAGAAGCCATAGTGAGTTGTGCTCTGGTGTGGGAACACGTTGATTAAGTTGATTGGCAGTTTACCCGCTGCAAAGAAGCATTCGAGGTGGGGTAAGGGTTGAGATCTGACCCGACAAAGGCAAACAAGTGAGGAGCGCCATGCTTTTGGAGAAGACATGTGGGGAAGGCGACGCAATGTGGCTGGTGACTTGTGGCGGAAGGACTGTGGCACAGTATCAGCACTAAATGGGTTTAGTGCAGAACGGAATGCCTCCACTCGCTTAGGGCAAGGGCGGCAACCCTAAGCACAATTGGAACCTCACAATTCTCATTTTCCATCGACGGCACACTAACGACTCATCCACCACAGCGACAATCACAGTGAGTACCTACAAGTCGATTTTAATCGGAGATTTAATATTAACATCAAACTCTTCCAGATGGGTGAGTGATTTTTATCCCCTTCCCGATGCCCAGGACTTTTTTTCGAGACAACGGTGCGCGAATATGCCTGGAGGAAATTTGAGACGCAAAGACCCCGATTTCATCGACATGAGACAATCACAGAAGAGGAGGACGCAATGGCAGATCGATGTTGCTTTGAATTATTTGTGAAGGAACGCACAACGCTGTCGATAAGGGCTCCGCATGGTTGAATCTCGAATTCTTCAATATTCACCAAGTCTTCTGACATACTCGCCAACTTGCATCGCGCACCGTTTCATCTCTCGAACTGAACATCTGGACAATTGGAACATCCACTACGAACAAAGACTGACGGATTCCCAGGGCGTCTTACTGAGTACCAGGTCATCGGGCGTCACCTGCCCAACGAGGCGAACCCCACGCCCAAGCTGTACCGCATGCGTATCTTTGCGCCCAACACTGTTGTGGCCAAGTCGCGTTTCTGGTACTTCATGGCCCAGCTCCGTAAGCTCAAGAAGGCCAACGGCGAGATCGTTTCCCTGAACGTGGTATGTTCGGATTGTGTATCCGAGGATATGGAATAGTGCTCATTTATCTTGTGTCTAGATCGAGGAGAAGCGTCCCCTCAAGGTCAAGAACTTCGGTATCTGGATCCGCTACGACTCGCGCTCCGGTACCCACAACATGTACAAGGAGTTCCGTGAGATGAGCCGCACCGACGCTGTTGAGGCTCTCTACCAGGACATGGCTGCCCGTCACCGCTCCCGTTTCGGTTCCATCCACGTATGCTACACTACTCGAATCCTTCGATAATGACCATATTCTAACGATGATTTTCCTGCAGATCCTCAAGGTTGTTGAGATCGAGAACAACGACAGCATCCGCCGCCCCTACATCAAGCAGCTCCTCCAGAAGGACCTCAAGTTCCCTCTGCCCCACCGTGCCGGTGGCAAGGTCGGCAAGAAGGTCTTCGCCTACTCTCGCCCCTCTACCTTTGCTTAAATGTGATGTTCTGGGTGTTGGGCTTGGAGTGTGTGGATGAATGACTGTTAATGGCCATAGCATGCATGAAAGATGGTCGCGTGGAAACCACCGCCCTTCACGGGCGAGATGGTTGGATGTCTCTAGTTCCCCGTATGGTGGCATCTTAGGTTATTTTGAAAAAAATCATCGGGTTTCTTGAATTATTCAAGTTCCAGTAGGACAATGGGCAAACATGGATAGTAGGCCGATTTAATAGGTGCTAAGGTATCTATCTTGTCAGAGATGTGTCAATCTGAATTAATGGGCTGTTGGCCTTCCGATTTCAAGTTGGTCCATTCAACTTCCGGGTAGTGCGGATGCATGCAAAGTAGTCATATACTGCCTTCTGCTGAACATATCTTTTGTTGCGAACTACATGTCCATTGATCGATGGGAATCAACAACAGATCTTATCAAACATGGAGAAATTACATTCCATCCTCTCCTGTACATTGCCATTTTAGTCCCGACGAGTTAGTGTCAAAACATCCGAGTTTCCTGGTCGCGTCCGAGGCCGAAACTGGATGCCTTTTGAATCAGGCATCCACTGGCTATCTTCAACTGCCATTGTAGCTGGAAGTCTTTTTTTGAGCCTGTCAATAAATGCTGTTTAGAAACTCCTTGACTATCTTTACTCAAACGGTCATTACCGAGAGCATTGATCTATGTAGGTCGTAATACAGGGATCTGTAATTGCGTCATTCGAAAACAGGTCGGAAGCTGTCCGCTTTCGCATATGTAATCCGATTTCTTCGGCACCTCTCGAGGCTCCCAGGTTCCTCGTTTCCCTCTTTCCCCCATTCCCTCCCAGTTCATTACAATCATGTTCGCTCGTCACTCTTTTCGCTGCGCGCAGCCCTTGAAGCAGGTTAGTTAAACAAGTCCACGATTCAATGCTAAATAATACTAAAAGCCATTCAATCAGAGCTTCCGCAAATACTCTGCGGAGGCCACTCCCAAGAAGTCCAACTTGACCCCCATCTACGTTGGTGTGGGCCTCGCTGGTCTCAGTGCTGGTCTGTACCGCTACAGCACCAGCGCAGTTGCTGAGCCCAAGGACCGCCCCAAGGTCTTCAACGGCGAGGACTGGGTGGACCTCAAGTTGACCAACATTGAGGTCCTGAGTTCCAACACCAAGCGTCTTCGCTTTGCTTACGATGACAAGGAGGCTGTCTCTGGTATTCCTGTTGCCTGTGGGTAGTCTGGCTCCAAGTATGGTTGCCAATCGATCACTAACCGGCATGTAGCTGCTCTGTTGACCCGTTTCAAACCCGAGGGTGCCGAGAAGAACATCCTCCGTCCCTACACCCCCACCAGTGATGAGGGTAGGATTAAGCTGAGATACAATGGGTTTTCATTTGCTAATACATAGTAGATATTCCCGGCTACCTGGAGCTCGTCGTCAAGGCCTACCCCGGCGGCCCCATGTCCGAGCACTTGCACTCCATGAACATCGACCAGCGCCTATCATTCAAGGGACCTATTGTCAAGTACCCCTGGGAGGCCAACAAGCACAACCACATCTGCCTGATTGCCGGTGGTACTGGAATCACCCCGATGTACCAGCTCGCCCGTGAGATCTTCAAGAACCCCGACGACAAGACCAAGGTCACTCTGGTTTTCGGTAACGTCACCGAGGAGGATATCCTCCTGAAGAAGGAACTTCAGGATTTGGAGAACACCTACCCCCAGCGCTTCCGTGCCTTCTACGTTCTGGACAAGCCCCCTGCGGGCTGGACCGGTGGCAAGGGCTTCATTACCAAGGAGCTGCTGAAGACCGTCCTGCCGGAGCCCAAGGAGGAGAACATCAAGCTCTTTGTCTGTGGCCCTCCCCCCATGTACAAGGCTATCTCTGGCGGTAAGATCAGCCCCAAGGACCAGGGTGAGCTCACTGGAATTTTGAAGGATCTTGGTTACAGCAAGGATCAGGTCTTTAAGTTCTAGGGTGTAAAACATGTAACTAGGATATGTTGCGAGTTGGATATGCGGCGGATTATGCAGCAGGATAGCCATGTATATTGGAGCATCTTGTTTTTCAGCGTGTTGCTGCGTCCCTGGCTTCGAACGTCCTTTTATTGAAGGAATGCATTTTGCCTACGAATTTATCCCTTTGTGTATCTGGTCCATGCGCTTATCGCTGCAGCATAGACAATTCGAACTAGATACGACTTGAACAGTGGGATGTCTCAATCAAGAGGGGAAGCCTGCTGAATATACTTGCGCACCTACCGGGACCACCTTCGTCGATTACAATGGAACCAACGATAATGGCCTCGAATCGTTGTCATGCACCAAAACAGCAGTGAAACCAAGGCATCTTCACCCAAAGGTTCTCAAACCATTGCCTGCAAGTGTATAAGGTGCCCCACGGCCTACGTCCAGAGGTGTCTGCACGAAGTACCCTTACAGCTCAGCGACAACACAAGACATTAGACCAGAGAAGGTCATTAAACCCACCGGAGAGAAACGAACCCCCAAAGGCAGATTGCACGAATTGAAATAGGACGTCAGAATAGACGTTCGTATTACAAGCTCGACACCTTGTGCTCGGCTGGGCCCCCTCTCCTACAGGGCTTGGGCGACCCTGAGGTTGAGATTTCGGCGGGGGAGCATAGCCCACACTGGAACAGGTCCCAGCCCCCCCCCTGAGAAAAGAGCAGACAGCACCGGCATATTACGAAGAAACAGGTGTGAAACATCATGAACAGACCCGCTGTGATTTTAATAATGAACGAAGTTCCCAATTACGGAGTACATATGTAATTGTTTTGTGAGCAAGGACGAAGTCCACAAGTGCATGCCCGGGTGGCTCATGGGTTTACCCGTCTACGAGCCCGCCAGGGTAGCCTATTTATTCAACAAACCTGCTCGGACTGTCTTTTAGGACAGAAGGGGCAAATGCGAAAGCAGAAATGAAATGTACATAGAATAATGTTCAAGGACCTAGGACCTAGGGTTCCGGTGTGTGTCTCATGACAAGGCCCATAGCCTAAGCCTAAAGCAGCGTAAAACTGCCCGGGGCACTTCGGGGTGCCCTTTTACTATTTAGTGGGTACACCCCTCGGCCTTTCAACCCCCCGGTCCTCTTCCCCCCGTCCCCCCCCCCGAAACACAAGAAAATTCTCTTTTCTTCACCCCAACACCCCTCGGCTTCAAAACAATGACTTCCAATCAAGATGATACGACCGTGCAGGTCAACAAAGAAGAGCTTAGACGGGCTGGCGACTTGGTATTTCCCCCCTTTCAATTTGTCTCATTTGATTTTTGCATTTTCTTTTCGGGGCTTTTTTTTTGGTTGTTTTCTTGTGCGCATCCCCACTGCGCGCTTGCTACGCGTCGCGTTCGAGGATCTACAAAGCTATCCAATAAGCGGCTGAAGCTTAAATGAGACCATCTTATACTTCGGTATCAGGTTGGCAAGCTTCATATGCTAAAACAAAAGAACAATCCCCACCTTTTCCCCCCCCACTTTAGACCTGGGACCTGTCTTGACATCACACCCTTCTCACCAACTTACGCGCTGCCTAACTGCCCATCTGAAATACAAAATGACCCAGCGCAATTACCCCCTGAAATCCCATTGCTAATAATGCTTCATAGATCGTCATGCGCCTGATGGAGGTGCAGTCTTACATCGCCGATTTAGGCAGGGCCTACGTCCAGCACGTGAACAACATCACCGAAGGACGTGATGCCAGCATTGACCTCCCCCTTGGTCCCTCTGGATTCGTGGGCTCGGACATCCCCTTCCGCGCCGGCAGCCCCGGCGCTAAGTCCGAGGCTGGTGGTCCTAAGAAGCGCAAGCGCGCGCCCGTCGACCCCAATGCGCCCAAGCGTGCCTTGACTCCCTACTTCCTGTACATGCAGCACAACCGCAGCAAGATCGCCGAGGACTTGGGCAATGATGCACGCCCCAAGGATGTTGCCGACGAGGGCACCCGCCGCTGGCAGAGCATGGAAGATACCCAGAAGGAGGTATGTGTTGGCGAACGAAGCAGTCCCCGCTTAATGTTGTATGCAAGTATGCAGAGCTAATACATTCGTATAGGTCTGGAAGAAGATGTATGCCGCCAACTACGACCAGTACAAGCGCGACATGGCAGCCTACAAGGCCGGCAGCAAGGTTGACGAGGACCATGACCATGACCATGACCACGACCACGACCATGATCCTGCCGCCAGCCAACTGCAGCAGGACTTTGCCGGTGCCGAGCCCGAAGTCGAGGCCGAGGAGGCTGAAGCTGAAGCCGAGCCCGAAGAGTCTGCTGACGAGTCGACCGAATCATCCGAGGAGTCGCACTCCCCCTCTCCTGCGAAGGAGAAGACCCCCCCGCGCAGTACCAACAAGCGCCGTCGCAGTGATAACAAGGCTAAGGAGGCTGAGACTCCTGCCAAGTCGCCTGTCAAGCGGGGCCGCAAGGCTGCGGAACCGGTGTCCACTCCGGCTGTCAAGACACCCGCTGAAAAGGGGCGCAGGAGCAAGAAGCGCAAGAGCGATGTGTAAATAAGTTTGTTGATGCTTCCTGCTTTCTGATTTCTGATTTGCTTGACTCTAGGGTCAGATGAGATGGTCTCGGTCTGGTGGACTGGATGTCGGAACCCCCCCCCCCCCCGGTTTCGCGTTTTCCTGCGGCGTTTGGGGGAAAACTGTGCCTGCCTAGCTTAAATCAGTGAATTGGACTGATCATGGGATGTGAGTTTTAGATCTTCTAGCATCAGGATCCATAGCAGGTTAGGGCGATATAGTTACCACTCCATATGGCATGTCGAAAAGTTCCCGAATCAAGATGCAGGTCTACAAGTTCCACCCGATACGTATCAAAGTAATAATTTAGAACTAAATCAAAACCAACAGGCTGAACCAGAGAGTCTAGGTTAAAGTCAACCAGTGCAGTATCAATCAAAGCCTTGACTAATGCCGCCTAACTCCGTTCCCCGACCCAATCGGCCTCCACGGGCACTTATCATCTAATCAGAGGAGCACATTTGAAATGTACCGCATCTCCATATTCCTCCCCTTTTTGACTCTCTTTAGATCTCCTTGATTTGTATCTTTTACATCTTCATTTGCTCTGAGCTTCCAAACTTACTCTGAAACTGCTTCCAAAACTCATAATCCTGCACGCCAGGTTCAGGTTCCACATGAACCATGCAGCTTGTTCCGAAGGAGGTAAGTCGCACATCTACTCCCCGAGAGACACACAACTAACACCCCTGTAGCTTGACAAGCTTACCGTCGCCCACCTGGGCTTCTTGGCACAGCGTCGTTTAGCACGAGGAGTGCGGCTCAACCATGCAGAAGCGGTGGTATGTGTATGTCCTGGGGGCGTAGGACACGACCACTAACGCTTCCCCGAACAGGCCCTGATAGCCTCCGTGCTGCACGAGGTACGTTAACCCCACGAAATCCCCTATAATCACATCGTTACACACCATACACCATAGACCCAAATGATCCAACGCGCAAACTAATACCCAAACTCCTCGTAGTTGATCCGCGATGGCCAATACTCCGTCGCCGATCTAATGTCCATCGGCAAAACTATGCTCGGCCGCCGCCACGTCCTCCCCTCCGTACTAGCAACCCTCGTTGAGCTCCAAGTCGAAGGAACCTTCGTCTCTGGTACCTACTTGGTAACCGTACACCACCCGATCAGTAGCGACGAAGGCGATCTCGAGCGCGCCCTATATAGCAGTTTCCTGCCCGTCCCCGCGCCCGAGGCATTCCCAGACCCGGACCCGCAAGATTTCTTGCCTGAGAAAATGCCCGGCGCGGTTATTCCTGTTAAAAATGCGCGCGTGGAGTTGAATGTCGGGAAGAGGCGGATTAGGCTCAAGGTTATGAGTAAAGGAGATCGGCCGATTCAGGTGTGTACATTGGACTCAATACCCAGAGTGGAAAAGACCACAAAAAAAAATCAGATCAGAAGCAAGGGATGCTAATTACAGTTTTGATGACCAGGTCGGATCGCATTATCATTTCATTGAGACGAACCCGCAGCTGCACTTCGATCGCTTGCAGTCGTACGGTTTCCGACTGGATATCCCCGCAGGTACATCGATCAGATTCGAGCCCGGTGATACGAAGACGGTCACGCTTGTCGAGATCGGTGGAAATCGCGTGATCCGCGGTGGAAATTGGTTGGCGAATGGGCCGGTAGATATGAGTCGTGCTGACGAGATCATGTCTCAGCTGCAGGCAGCTGGGTTTGCGCATGTGCCGGAGCCGCAGGCGGATAGTGCGCTTGTTTCTGGGTTCTCGATGGAGCGCGAGGCGTACTCGCGCATGTTCGGTCCTACCACGGGGGATTTGGTGCGGCTTGGGTTAACGGATTTGTGGATTCAGGTTGAGAAGGATATGACGAATTATGGCGACGAGTGTGCTTTTGGTGGAGGGAAGACGCTGCGCGAGGGGATGGGACAGGCGTCTGATCGGTCTCACACCGAGTGTGTTGATACTGTTATCACGAATGCGTTGATTATCGATTGGACTGGTATCTACAAGGCTGATATTGGTATCAAGGATGGGCTTATTGCTGGTATTGGCAAGGCTGGAAACCCGGATGTCATGGACGGCGTGCATCCTGCTCTGGTGGTGGGCTCATCTACGGATGTCATTGCTGGAGAGAACAAGATTGTTACCGCTGGTGGTATCGACACGCACATTCACTTGATCTGCCCGCAACAGGTGGAAGAAGCTTTGGCCTCGGGAATCACCACTTTCCTCGGCGGCGGCACTGGCCCCACCACTGGATCAAACGCGACGACATGTACACCGTCGCCGAACTTTTTGCGCCAGATGATGCAAGCATGCGACAGTCTACCGATCAACATAGGCATCACGGGCAAGGGCAACGACTGCGGAAAGAAGAGTCTCAGAGAGCAGATCCTAGCAGGTGCAGCAGGTCTTAAGCTTCACGAAGACTGGGGCTCCACTCCAGCAGCTATCGACAACTGTCTCGAAGTCTGCGACGAATACGACGTGCAGTGCATGATCCACACAGACACACTGAATGAATCCGGCTTCGTCGAGCAGAGCATCGGGGCCTTCAAAGGCCGCACAATCCACACCTATCACACCGAAGGCGCAGGCGGTGGCCACGCCCCCGACATCATCTCCGTCGTTGAACACCCCAACGTCCTTCCCAGTAGCACAAACCCAACCCGGCCCTTCACCCTTAACACCCTCGACGAACACCTCGACATGCTAATGGTCTGCCATCACCTGTCAAAGAATATTCCCGAGGATGTAGCCTTCGCGGAAAGCCGCATCCGCGCCGAAACCATCGCCGCCGAAGACGTCCTCCATGACCTCGGTGCCATCAGCATGATGTCCTCGGACTCGCAAGCAATGGGTCGCTGCGGTGAAGTAATCCTTCGCACCTGGCACACAGCGCACAAGAACAAGACACAGCGCGGACCTCTCGGCATCGACGCCGACAGTGGCGCGGACAATTTCCGCGTCAAGCGATACATCAGCAAGTACACGATCAACCCCGCTCTCGCGCAGGGAATGTCGCATGTCATCGGGTCTGTGGAGGTCGGCAAGGTCGCCGACCTGGTATTGTGGAATGCAGCGGCATTCGGCACGAAACCCGTATCCGTTCTGAAGAGTGGGATGATTGTTACCGCGGAGGTTGGAGATCCGAATGCATCAATCCCGACTGTTGAGCCGATTATTACGCGGCCGATGTTTGCTGCGCGGGTTCCGGCTATGTCTATAATGTTTGTGTCACAGGCTTCTATTGATGCGGGGATTGTGCAGACGTACGGATTGAAGAAGCGCATCGAGGCTGTGAGGAAATGTCGCTCGGTTGGGAAGAAGGATATGAAATTTAACGATGCTATGCCGAAGATGAAGGTTGATCCGGAGAGTTATACCGTTGAGGCGGATGGGATGCTTTGTGATGCGGAGCCGGCCTCGGAACTGCCTTTGACGCAGGCGTATTATGTCTTCTGAGTGTTTGATGGCTTTTTTTCTGTCTTGCGTGCCCTAGGCTTTTCATTTTGGTCTTTACAGTCACTTTATACCTTGCTTTTTTTAGTTGATTGTTTTAACATGACATGGGAATCTTAGATCTTTTCCCTACTACTTCTCTCCGATGCACATTTAGCTCAATCAGCAACCTTTCTTTTTTTTCGTTTTTTTCTCTCCTCAAAATTCTAGAGAATTCAACATCCCCTTGATAGAATCGAGAACAATCCGATCCGTCCTCCTCCCATCAGTTTTGACTAGAATATCTGCCCAGTGTAACAAAGACGCAGCAAGACCATTGCAAATACGCGGCACATTGTAGCTATCAAACCCGTACGGTTTCACCAGCACATACGCATTGCAACGAGCATCACGAGCCATAAACATAGAGACATCCCTCAGGCGATGAACACTACCAACAAGCTCATGCAGATTCTCAGCAACATCCTCACCAGCGTGAGGATTCGCGCTTAGAATCCTCGCCTGCATCTCCAAAGCGAAGATGACAGCCGCACGCTCGCGTTGAAACGTCGATACAGAGCCAGGCCGGGGAGGCATAGTACACAAGGCCGGAGGAAAGGGTGTCGAAAATGGAACCCCGGTACAGCGATATACGACAAACACACCAGGAGTAGTAATATGCCAATGACAATGCGATTCCAGTCCTATCTAAAAGCATAAGTTAGCCACAATCTGATCAATTAACCGCGCCACAGCAACAGGAACATCAGTGCAAAGGTTATCGCGCAGTCGATCCGCAAGATGAGCACACTGGCCCTTTAGCGCGGCGCAGTGCATAGGCACGACGGTATCGTAGAAGCCGGTCTGGTGGACTAGAACGTAGGGGTGGTGGCGGCTGTCGACGGCCATCTTCCTCGAGAGAGAGGCGACGATGTCGAGGTGTTGGATTAGCTGCAGGCGGAGGTTTGGGATTACATAGGCGCGGCTGTTGATGTCGTGGCGTAGGAAGGTTGATTGCTGCTCGAGCAGGGCGACGAGGTCGTCGCGGGCTTTGCGGAAGCTGGTGACGGCAGATTGGTTCATATGTGCAATGACACGTGAAGGGAACCAAGTGAATGAGGGATTGTGGGTTGGGGGTTAAAGGGTGCTGATATAGATCTAGATGGAGATGGAAATGTTAACGCGAATGTATTGGAACGTACCTGGATACTGGAAATAAGATACAGCGAACGCTGGTGCTGGTGCTGGTGCTGATGCTGATGCTAGAATGAGCCTACGAATCAATTGGTAGAAAAATAAAAGATCTAGATGTATCCCAGGTCAGCTAGTGCATGCTCGAGGTCAAGTGCGATTAGGTGCTCGGTGTTGACCACGGGCTTGTGGGTATGGTCATAGAGGATCTGGGCCATCCGGCGAGTATCACGGCCGACCTCGTCGCAGATCTGGGGGATGGTACGGGCGAAGTGCTCGATACCCTGGGAGGTGACATAGGCCATGTTGGCGGCGTCGATAACTAGAGCCTGGGAAGCCCATTTCACCTTGTCGGCCTGAATCTTCAGGGACTGGATGTCGAGGGTGATCTCAATGAGGTAGTTGCCCTCGGGCATCTGGCGCAATGTGGCAATGTAGGAGCGGATATTTTTCACGAGGATACCGCGCTCCTTGCGGTACTTGAAGATAGCTCGAGTACCGCGCAAGAGTCTACTAGCGACGGATTCAGGCATCGTGATGGGAGAGCTAGTGCTATAATAGGAGAGATGAGTAGATGAATGGGATGTATCACTTACTTGGCTGGGATTAGTGGAGTAACTGATGCTGAAAGTAGAGTAGAGTAAGCTGGTTGCACTGATGCAGTTTGAGAACCTGCGAATCGGATGATGCCGTGAAATGGTCAAGGAAACGGGCCTATTTAATGCATTTGCATTATTGCTGAGTTGACTGGAGGCAAAGTGTTCAGACGATAGGAATGAAAGAAAGATGACTTGTTGGGAACCTTTGTTCTCTTTGTTCTTGATATCAGCAGGTGGAAAGAAGTTAGTATGCAAAGCATAGGTGGCTCCAGGGGATATTAACCAAGGCTTTGTTATAACTTTAGCCTCTCAAGGCCATTGTTTAGTTATTTATTCTCTATAAACTAGAAAAAAAGGGAGCGACAATGTCCATCAGGTTGCTCGCCAAGTCTTTAGGGCTTGTCTCGACCATGGAGTCTGGTTTCGGCCACTCAGCCAACCAGAACTCCCAGACCAACTTTGTTGTTTGTATGAGCCTGCGGGGCTGATTTATGGTAAGTAAAGTAGTATGAATTGGTTCTTTTGGAACGTTTTTCTTTGAGACAGTGATCCATCCCTATAAAGGGAACAAAAACCCACCATGGGCCCAGCTTTCAAGTGTCCAGACATAGTTTGATAGACGAGATACTAGATGACAAGATGATTAAAGGATTGTAGAATGAGATGAGATTCATGTAAAAGTCTCTTGCACAAGTTATCCACATGCGTTAGAAAAAACCGTTCAAAGACCGGCTGAAAAGATCAAACTAAAAAAAAAACATTACAAGGCTGCACAAGCCGCCTACTATTCTTGCGGGGTGTCATATAAGGAAAATCGACGAAGATACAGAATGAAGAAAAACAGATTCATCCGCCTACCAATTTGAGACAAAGATCAAGCCTATAGTTCGATCTCCTCCTCGCCGTGATTATCCGCCGAAACAAGCGACACATCCGTCCATGCAGAGAAAGTGCCTTCTCGCGCCGCTAGGTAAGCAGCAACACGCGCACGACGTGAGCGATTCAGGGTTTCTTCTCTCCGCACTGGGTCCGGTCGCCCATTTTCAACGGAATTCTGCTCTGGAGAGTCAAATGCAGACTCCGAGATGGAGAGAGAAAGTATGTCTGAATGTTGACTGTCTGTTTGTTGTGTGACTGGACGAGGAGATGGAGTACCATCGCCAGTTAGATCAATGATTCTTGTAGACGTGCTTGGTTCAGACCTGAGTCGGAGATCTGTAGTTGAAGGTTCTAAACTCGGCTGGTCAGGTCTAAGCACATCGTCTTCTTCACTTCCCTCATCACTGGCCGGATCAAACCTGTCTTCTTTTTCTGTCGGCCACGTAGACGGGAGAGGATTGACATGAAAGAGCCTAGGCTCTGCATGTTCTTGGAGATAGCGGTGTGCTTGACGGATTTCGTTGCGCTTTACTCTGGCTGCCTCTCCGGATTGACTCGAACGTTGTAGATAGTCCTGCTTCTGATCCTGATGCTGGCCGGTATCAAGGCTCAAATCCTCAGTGCTACTATTAGTTTCTTGTGTGAACTGTGTGGAGAGGTCGATGTCGTATCGGGTCCTTTTTCTGGTGCGCAAATCTCCTTCGTCGTCAACATCATTAACTACGGTCTGCTGCATATGAATGTCGTGTGAAAATTTTGTTCCTGAACAGAGGTGGCCAAACAAACGCTTGATGGAGACATCTTCGCTCCAGGTAGTTGGGTCCACGGTGCATGGATGAACGTCCTTGGGCCGGAAGGCAGATACGAGCTCACATAGTTCAGAGTAGGAAGAGTGTCGTGAATACGGGAATCGCTGTAATGCGATGAGAGGGGATAGTCGAAAGAAAACAGAAGTGCCACTTACTATTGTGTTAGGCAGATCTGGCTGAGACGACCGGCTGGAGGTAACAGATGGACCATGGCTTAGAGCGGTGACCAGATTTTTCAAAGAAATTTCACCCTCCTCCTTTACACCGTAGGTATCAAGTGAGAGTGCTTTCTTTCTTGACCGGAACGCACCCAGAAGGGCTTTTCGCATTTGAGAAAGGGCTTCTTTGTCCCGGATGTGTTCGAGACACAGCTTCTCCAACTCAGCTAGTGCAGACTCATCGGGCAGCTCGAGTTCATGTGTTAGGTACAGATCCCCAACACCACCGCCCGCACCGACCTCGGGGATTTCTGCACCACTGGTTGTGCGATTCACAATAGGCACAATGTAGACCGTATTAGTGCTACGAGCTACCGGGCACGAGATTCCAGGCTCACAACTGTGGATTCGACTTAACTCGTTGTTACTCAAGCAGCCTGTTACAGCTTTGTTTCCAAGCTCAAATCCACAAATAGCAGGAGCTTCATTAACCCCTCTATTACCTGGAATCTGGATCAGAGACCGATAAAGTCCCATCTGGTAACGATCCACATGGATCTACGCTTTATTAGCCAGTGTGATCTTTGAGCATGATATTCATCACCTTTGTGTTCAGCGCAGCCGAGAGCGCTATCCAGACATCCTCGTAGCCGAACGTCCACGCACGGAGGTAGAAAACTGTATCGTCGGGATACGCTTGGACTTTCTGCAGCAGCTCAGACAGTCCCTCGGCTTTGGAAGGGAACTCGCGGAATGGATTTGTCTTGCTTGCAAAGGTAGAGTCCAGATACAACTTATCCAGTCGCTTTGGACCTAGAGTATACGGTATCAAGACCGGGTGACGAACTAAGCTGCTCACCCACCATGTTTCGGCTGAAAATGATCAGCCAGCAATTCAACCAAGACGGGATATCGTCGACTCACCTCGTATATCACCTGTGTAGATGATCGCCTTCCCATCCCCTTCAATTAAAAACATGACAGCCCCGGTGCAGTGATTGGCATCAAATAATGTCACCTTGATACAACGTCGGGGTGTGAGTTCAATTTTTGTGGGGGTATTTAGTGGAATTGGGCGCTGTGGCCGTTGAGCTGTTAACTCCAGTTGAAGTCTAGAATACGATACTAACCAGAAGCTTTGCAAGATGCTTGTAGTGGAGTCTGCGTGACTCCAAGATGCCTTTAGTAAAGTTCATCCGATGGGGATACTTCTCAATCCGGAGTAGTAGCTGCATCTGATCAGTTTGAATGCAATTCAATAGAATGAACAAGAACCAACTTCTCGGGTAGCCGGCGAGCAGTAAATGAATGGTGTCCGAAAGGACTCGAGACCCTGTAAATGATCGCTATGCACATGGCTGAGAAAACAAGCTAGTGGCGCCGGCCGCTCTGGGCATGTCCGAAAGTAGTCAACTGCTTTTTTTTTAGTCGTAAATTTGGCTGATCTCACAGGCGAGACTCACTGCGAATGTCGGGGAACTCTGTCGGATGATCAGTATAGAAGTGACGTGGGAAGTGTTGGTCTCACCTTCTACGATGCCATCGAAGGTCGACATGGCCAAATTTAGAAACCTGGAAGCTGAGATCAGATCTGCATTTTCAAGGTTGCCCAGGTGAAGAAGATGTGCTGGACTGAAGGACGTTCATTGCACGTGATGTGAGGATAATCCCCCAAAAGAGCAATAAAACAGGTCAGAATCTATCGAATCTTTTTATAACTTAGAGCTTTATGAGTGGATTATGATTCGATAAATCATAATAACCACAGTTACTCCGTAAATATGCCATGTCCACCTGAGTCCACTTGAGTCCAAGAATCGTCTTAACAGTTGGCCATGCATCGTGGCCACGCCAACGCACACTTGGGACTAGTTAGAAAATCGTATAAGCCCTGTTTCTTCCCAATCTACTCCGTATTCTCTTTGATTTTGGGTTCTATCTATCTTTTTCTTTTTTTTCTTTTTTCACTAAACTAATGGAACGCCTGTGAGACCGTCAATTCCTCAAGGGTCCAAGAGCTGAAACGTCAGCTCACCTGATCGGGATTTTCCTTGTCATCTTGACCTATATCTTGACCTGGATCAAGGGAAATCCAGGAGAACCTTGGAAGCATTTCTATCTTCTCAAGAATTTGCCCTCCAGCGTCCCACTGTCAGCAGCTCAGGCGTTCAAAACATTCAACCCGTCCAAAGGTCCGGGAATTTGACAAAGGGCAAGGGGGGGGACCTTCCAGGGCTGGAGATCCTGAATCATCCACATTCCAAGGTGTCTGGGACGACCTTCTCTTCTTAATCTGCTTGTTTAACCTCCTAATCCCTTCCATATCCGAACCTCATCATGCGTAAACCATCCGTGGGCCAGATCGTGTACAACGCCACGTTTCCACGACCTCGCCCAAACGACCCAGGCTCGTTTGGTGCTCACATTTCCCGAAACCTCGTCCCAGAAGTACGTATCGAAACGTCCATTTTCTACGGTTCATTAGATTGCATCGAAGCACAATACCCGGGGTTGGACTACTCGTATGGACCACATCGCATGCGACTGAGTCGCTTCCCATGGCACCGAAAACTGTTCCGCACATTTGACCAACTCGGTCTGACAGAGGAGGAGATCTCCAATCTCTGTCGGTGGGAAGGAACCAAGTCCGCGCGTCAGCGGTACGAGGCAGAAGAAGGAATTATCGTGCGGGACACCACAGCCCACTCCGTCCGACCGGCATCCCCGCAACCCGTGCCTTCGATCGAGATCCACTTCAACGATGGCGACTTCTGCGGGACAGAAGAGGAAGATAACCAGATCATCGAGACACGGAGCAATGATACGGTCCGTGCCGTTGATTCCCGTGCCTCCAGTTACCGGTCCGCCGAGGAGGAGCACGAAATCGACGAACTCAGCGACGAGGAGATGGAAAGTTGTGGCGTAGCCCTCAACAACCGTATCATTGCTGCGATGGCCGCTCGCGACCAAGGTACCGATGTGCCGCTAGACGAAGACTGGGAACAATGGCTGAAGGAGGCTGGAGAGCGTGGCAGTTTCGGCGAAATGGTGCATGCCATTCGGGCGGACCAGCCCTTGACTCTTGTCGCTGACAATGTCCAACTCCCACGCGGTCGCGGTGCAGCCCGTGTGATGACAAGGACGACCTTTTTCACGGTGCCAGACAGCCTTCTCGCAACCAATACTGCTCGTCCTTCGACATCCAATCCAGCCTCCGGCACGGCTCAATAACTGCATCCTATTTGACTCGATCAGATCCTTTGAACAGGGTCGCCCGCTATGATTCGTGTTTGCATTTTTTAAGGCGCATCTTACCTCTCTCGCATTGCCTGAAGTGGACTGGCTCCTTCTTCTTGGGGTTCCCTTTGCTTTTCTTCTTCTATATCCATTACTCTATTTACGCTTCGTTCAGAAGAGTCTCTTGCTTACGCATAGATTTCATTGTCTGATGTCTCATTTTCTTTAATACCCTCGTGTTCCTGTTCCTCACCCTGCTTCATTGTTTGACGCGTTAGCTTCTTCATTGTTTGCTTTGCTAGGATCTTCACCTTTAACGTGGTAATCGGGAGGGTTTCGGCACAAGGCAAAAGTTAATTTTAACTCATCCAGAAACATATCTATGAACTATCATTTGTGATCATCCAATGTATAGGTACTTTCTTCATATGAAACATGGTTTGAAAAGCTAGTGTTTGAAATTTTTATAAAAAAATAGAGTGACATCACATAGATTGTTCATGTTCCATACGAAGAAACTCCCATACTACACGCTCATCTCTGTTAGTGTAAACCACCAGATATTTGTCCCTGTCTATCGGCAATGGCAAGGACTCAGCAACATCTCGTTAGGTTCGATGCACGACCAGTACACAGCACTCCTATGCTCACTATGTCCCGCCACAAGGTGCAAGATACCTTTTTGGAGCCCAATCACAAGGCTTGTATTCACGGTCACGGATGATGAATGATCGTGCCTTTCCAAGGACAATTTCTAGAGCGGAATGTAACCAGATGCCTCGAAGGGACCATTGCAAACGCTACTGTGTGGAGGTGTATTGCATCTTCCATCTTCTGCGGTATTGGTATTCACTTTCACGTTGAATTAATGCTGAAATTCAGATGGTGGAAATTTTCTTTCCTTTTTTCTATGCATCTCGGGCACGCTTCTCCATAGAGTAGAGATACTTGCCAACTGAATACGTGTTTGAAAAGTGAGCAGAAGAAATACCTCCACATAAGGAAGAGCAAGACGCACAACCTACGTCTATCCGGAAGCTGTAGTTGAATGGGGGCGTGGATTGGGGGGTTCAACAAGGTACGGAGCTAGGACATCATGGGCCACGTGATCCCAGCTTCAACCAGACGCAGCCAATCAAACAAAAACGATAAACACAGTCTAGCCTAATCAGGAATAGCTTAGTAAATAATGATTGTGATAAGCTCTCCGCTCCGAGTTCCGCTCCGCAACTGATCTCCATGAAGATGAACCTCGTTTCAACTCTGTGTTTGATTGGAATTGGCCAAGAGGCTGTGTTCATTCATACCAAGCTTTGTTATCACGCATTTCTCCCAACCCGACGGCATCTTCACAATGATCAAGGCGATCTTCTATAGTAAATTCGACACGATAGAGGGTACGGACCTTTATATGCCATGATCACCATTCAATTACCCAGATGCTGACTTAAGATGGTAATACAGGACCCAAAGTAGTCCATCAAGTCCCTGATGGAGCCATCGTACCCTCTCCCACCGCACCCTCACAACTACCCTTTCTCACCTTCTCCGATGTCTCTTTCTTCGTGATTCCCCGCCAGGAGCTCTGTGGAAACCTTTTGCAAGTCTGTACCAATGGATACCGTATCCTGGGCTACCCAATCTGCATGAAGTCAGTGCGGTATGACCGAAATGAATTCATCTTCAACTTCTGCATCGTCCTCGCCGAGGAGGACGACTTCAGCACGTATAAGAGCGTGGCGCAGAAGCTAGCAGACTTAATGCATGGTCTCGAAGAGCAGAATGGTTTCTTGTCTCGCGATTTCTCGAAGAGTGGGGAAGGGAAGGTATATAGTCTCTGTGAGATGTTGATGGAGGACTTGAACAACTACTGCGAGTGCATGATACCCATCGGTACGCTCCTGGGCCTGTTAAACATAAAGTCCGCTGCTAACTATTCTACCCAGACGAACTCAACACCTTGAACATCAAGCTATTCCCAATATATCCCTCTCCCCCGCCCGTCAAGGCCTGGCAAGTGCCGCTCTTCACGTTGCGATACCAAGCCTTCATGGATGAGAACTGGGACTTGACCATGCAAAGGGTATGAGAAAGACGACACCATCCCCCTGGCTAAAAAAACACAACAGCTGAACCCGTCCAGATTGTACCACATATCAATGGTGTCAACAGCGTCCGCATCATCTCCATCCTAGCCGACACAGACTTCTCGCTCACCTGCCGCGCCCTCCGACACCTCCTCTACTACGGCTGCCTATTTATCCTCGACATCTTCTCCTTCTCCGCGATCTACGCTCCAACCGCACAATTCAGTGCAACAATAGGCTTAGACGAAGCAATGCAACTAGAATGTGCCCGCTACGTAAACCTCCGCTTCGCACCACACCCACCAACCGGCCCCTCCTCGCCTCTCCCCCCAACCCTAATCCCACCCCCAAGCGCCAACGGCAGCACAAACAGCAGCACCAGAACAGCCGTTCTCTCCAGCTCCCTCACAGACCCAACACCAAGCCTCGTACGCGAGGAATCCCGCTTCGACGCCGAAGAAATCTGGCCCCTCCTCGGCACCGAAGAAACCCACCCCTCCACCTCCCCAACACCCACAAACGGACTCCACAAACCCGCGGTCGTCGATGGTGTCGCACTGGTCGAGCTCTACGCAAGCCTGAAACAAGGCCAGAGCGTCAAGCAATGGTACGCAGCGCACAGCCGCTACCTGGCCAACATCGACATCCGTCGCTTTATCACCTTCGGCGTGATAAAGGGCTTCTTGTATCGCGTGCATAAATACGCATGCGCAACGAGCCAGCCTGCACCCCCGCCGCGCGCATCGTCGTTCACGCCGACGGCGCTGTCGCCGCGTGCAACTACGGGGACGAATACGCCTTATGCAGTCTCGAGTGTATCGGAAGATGCGAATAACCCAGCGGTTGCGAAGAGGGAGTCTAGTCGTGAACGGGCTGTGTCGGTTTTTAGTGGGAGTCGGAGTGGGAATGGGAATGGGAGTGGAGGGGCGCCGTCGGCGTTTTGGGAAGAAGAGGAGGAGGTTGTTGGGGATGAGGTTCTTGGCAAATATCTTGATGGTACGCATTGCTTTGATCAAATTTGTACGGAGTTGGAGATGAGTGAGAGGGAGTTGACAGCTAGACTGAAGAGGTATCCTTGGGAGGTAATGATTATTCATAGATGAGTTTTGGGAGGCTTCTTCTTGTTTTCATTTGCTTTTTCCGGATTGCGAAAAGTGATCGATACCCTGCCTCGGATCTCTTTGGCGTTGATGGGATTGAATGTGTATATGCGATACTACGGGTACGACCGGAAATTTGAAGATTGGAGAATTTGGTTTATTTAAATAATAACAGCCCAAAGCTCAAAAAAAAAAAAGAATGCACGGATATAGTCACATCTACCTAGCTAGATACATGTGGAAAATATCCAGTGTGTATCTTCAAGCGGACTGCAATATACATAGCCACGGGGTTCAACATTCGATGTGGTTGAACAGAGAGAAAAAAAAGAAAAAAGGTATCCGCTAACGCCACGCCAGTCCATCATGCAATCGTATCGTGTCGTGCGAGAATTAAATCAAAACAAGGTTGAGGTGGCTAGAATCCAAAGGACAGAAGACGGGCCATCGAGTGAAAAAAACCCAGAACGGATTGAAGAGGGTATAAGTATTTATTCCTCATCCCAATTCTCAAGCTCGGCTTTCTCGTACTCAGCCATAACCTCTGGATCGAAGATTGACTCTCCCTTGGAGGGAATGGTAGTCTTGATGTCGTCAAAGATAGGGAGGAATGCCTCGTTCCAGCGACGACGACGGTCCATGACAATCTTTGCAGCGTCTCCGACAGCAGGACGAGAAACGCCCGCGGAACCAGCGATGTGACTGCCGCCACCTGCGCCGCCGGGTCGATGCTTGGGCTGAGCGCCCTTCTTGCTCTTGCCCATAGTGCGGGTGCGCTTGAGATAGGCCTGTTGGACTTGAGAGTCGAGGTCGTCCTGGATGGTAGTAAACTCAAGCATGGCCATGTGCTCCTGCGCAATCTTCAGAATACGAGCCTTGCGCGCATTATTGGTAACGATTTGCTTCTTGAGCTCGCTTTGAAGAAGGCGGAGTCGCTCCGCAACTTCATCATCGTAGTGGGCGTCGTAGTCTGGATTATCATCTGCACCAAGGAAACCGATGAATCGCAGTTCAGCTTTGGCGCGCTCATCAAGTTGGGCATGGTCCAGCTTTGCGACCGAAGTTTTGAAGTCATTTGGATCTGCGTCGCGGAAGGTGGTTGCAGCAGGAAGAGGTTTGGGCTCGCCCTTGTTCTCTTTCTCAACAATGGGTTGATCGATGTCCATTGCGTCCCCACCAAGTCCACTCACACTAGCAGTGTCCCCATTTGCACTTGGGTTGGAATCTTCGGGAAAGGTACGGTGTTCATAACGGAGGAGAGAGCAGAGTCGGCTGAGGAGAGGTCCAACCGAGACTTCGTTGGTTTCGGCTTTATCGTCAGTCAGCTGTTCAATGCTGCCACGGCCTTGATTCAAAGGCAGCTGGTCCTTGTCGTCTTGACTCGAGTCGTATGACACTCCATCCTCCTCTGCCCAGATTTGACGATAGTTTTTCTTTCCGCGACGGGGCATGATGAACGGAGTAGTGCGATCACCCTGTGATAGGTTAGCTTTATGTTGGCATGTAAGTAGCTGCAATTGACTTGCCCTTTCTTTCAACCAGGCAATATCCTCCTCAGTAAGAGGCCGGACGTAAGGTTCAATGTAAGTTTGGAAGGTATTGGCGCTGACTTGGTTGGAAGGTTTGGCGTTGCTGAAGTCCTTATCAGGAGCCACACCAGCTGCCATGTGGGCAAGATCGGTCTTGGGGAAGTGGGCAACGCTGTAAATCTCTTTCTTCTCATCGTCCGTCATGCTTGGAAGAATATCTCGAATGTTGTAAATGGTCGGGTCGTCAAACTCCAGCGGGTTATCGCCAAAGACTTGCACCTGAGGAATCGCAGGTTGGGGCTCAGGTTGGTGGGAATCAGTACTGGTTTCAGACCCGGGGGTCCCGGGGGGAGGGCCGTCGCCAGCTGTGGTTGTGCCGTTGGGGGACATCATCGACGGAGGTGAAAGCGAAGAGCTTTCATCCGATATCGCATTCTTGGAGTTTTTCGATGCTGGAGAAGCCGCTAGTGAAGGTTAGTAAATGTTGAACGGTGGGGAAAGTGAAAGAAGACCAGAGTTGTGGAGTTGGGTCGGTAAAAACAAAGAGTGGGAATAAAGCGCCGAATTGGATCTCTTACCTCCCTCAACCTTAGTCTCAGCTCCATCCTGGCGCGCTAATTCATGTGCACCGTGATTTAATGGCCGATCCTCCTTTCCACTTGGGCGCTCTTTCCGCTTCTTCAGCTTCCCGCCCTTGTGAATATCGTCATCCTCTTCGGTTTCACGTTTCAACTTGGAGCGATCTCGAACTTCACGATCAAGCTCCTGATCCTCCACTTCTTTGCGCTTTTGAGACATCTCGCGCATTCCAGCATTGCAAACCTCGCCCCGAAGATCGGCCATGTCACTCAGACCCTTCAGGTGCTCCACCAATGTCTCCAGTGTTTTCGAATCTGGAATGTTCTGCGCAGCTACCAGGTCCAACACATCAGAATATTGCATACTAGCCAAGTCGATGTGTTTGGTGACATCATTTTCCAAGTAGCTTTGGATAGGCAGTGCTGGGATAGTGGGAGCACTAGCGCTAGACGGGGTGGTGTTGCGGCTACGCGACTGGCGCGCATCGCGGCCTTTGCCCTTGCCCTTGTATGCGGCCGGCATGGTGTTTCTTCAAAACGATGGTTGGACGAAGGAAAAAGAATAAATGGAATGATGAGGATTTCAAAGGCAGTCCGAAGGAAAAGAGAGACTTGTCGACAGAAAGGATCCTAGCAGGTGTGAATGGAACTAGACAGACACATGCTGTCGTTGGTCACTGCGAGCGAAGAGGAATGAAAGGAGATTGAGTATCCCCCAAAATTGTCTGATCATGAGCTAGAGCAAATCTAGAGCAAGATACCCTCTCAATTCTCGGTCACGGATAAATTATGACTTTCCCGAGGTGATGACGGTTGACGGTCGCTGGCGGTCGGCCGGAGTGCGTAGCACGTGATAGCGATATGAAGCCTATCATCACGTGTGCATTCTATCCATTCCATCAGTTGCGGTCCCTAAGGGATGTTAGGGCCTAATATATATATGTATATATACATGTGGATGCAATGACAAACAGGACTTTCTGATTGTCCTTATTATCTTATGTCATCCATCAGGATGTTAGCGGCCTGATTTGTCTACGGGATTACATAGTTCCTGAGCACTTGGCAATGGACATCCTTAAAAGCTGTGAGATGATTCAATTGATTGCATTCTAAAACACACTAACCAGCCTGCGCCTTGCATGCGGCTCAACAGCTGAAGGCTCTCACACATGGCATAGCGTCCAAAAATGTGGTCAGGGTTGAAAGTTGACACACATTCCTCCAGTTCTGCGGAGAGAACCCGAATGTCGGCTACTCCGAACACATTCTAAGGGATGAGGCATTAAAGAGCAAACAATGTATTATATGAATTCTAATTGCAAGCGTTAAAGAACTACTACTTATAAAACAATCTCGCTAAATCCCCATGTAAAGTGTAAAAAGCCTGAAAAGCTGCCTGTTGATGATCATCTCCACAAACAGTCCACCGCGAACGGCCATGTTTAGCGAAGTTTACGATATGGACCACGCGCTCGGCCATTTTTAATTGTTTACTCGTTTACGGAGGTTTTTTTCTAAAATATGAGGCTCAGTGCATTCTAGGCAAGACGTTTTGCCTCCTGCCTCGTGGTTGGAACCAGGCTTGTTCTACATTCTTGCGACGGTCCCGATTGACTCTCACATTTTTTTCGCTGTAGAGCTCTAAATAGCAATAGGGATGTAGGTAATGTTTCAGAGCTGAGTGATATCTCTAGCGAATATGCCTAAAAACGTAGTGGTTGCCAGTTTCGAAAGTCTTTCATGTTCAATCTGTTTTCTCTCTGCACCCTCCTTCCTCACTGATCTCAACCATTTGGCCTCCAGTGTATCTTTTACTTGACACTCATCATCACTATTTATTGGGCCCGGTATCAAGCATTGTGTTATCTTCTAACATGTCTACGCGAAATAACTCTGTGGGTAAAGTGGCTACACTTTGGGCAGGTGAAGGGCAAGCTTCGAATTCCACCTCGTCAGTCGAAGTAAGCATGTCTTATTCATTCAGAATTTGCCAACAGCCTCCGGGGCTGATTCTAATCCGCATAACTGCATAGGAGAATGTTGCCTATCGGTTTGTTCTTGATCGCAAGGTCCAAACGATATCGAGCAACAGCATTCCCAAAGATGGATTGGTATCCGGCCTGTTATTTGTACCCAGTCTAGAGCCGCACGATCCATGCTATGACATTACCGCTTCGTCTGTGCCATCAAATGTGACCCGCTATGAGGATGTGTCAGATTTTGGATACCCCCTTGTTGGCCTTGCTCCATGGGTAACCGCTGAATGTTCTGTATCGTTTCTCTCTGCCGCCCAAAAGGCCGGCACCCATGCCATGATATTTTTCCAGCCATCAGACAACGAGACTGGCATACCACCTGACTCAAAAGACTCTCGCTGGGCGATGAAGGATGGAGATAAATGGAGAATGGAGAACAACTACCCAGTCTATGCCATTTCAGGTCCAGCTGGAACCTCGTTGATCAATGATCTCTCATGGTATTCAAAGGCGACACGCGACAACAAAATATACAACTCAACAAAGAAACTCGCGCTACAAACTGATACGAACCGATTGTTTGCCCGGATTGAAACCGGTAGGTCACGAAAGTCCGTCACTATCGAAATTTATGCTCACACATTGTAGGCGAAGAAACCGCAACCTCGTCGACTAGCGTCTGGAGCTTTGTACTTGCGATTGCAGGAACAGTTCTTATGCTCAGCATTATCCTAATAATTATCTATAGACTTGTCCTTCGCAAGAGACGAGCTCAGCTCCAGAGACGTGTCAATGCAGGTCAAGTCGACATTGAGGCTTTGGCATTAAACCAAATGACGGCTCCTCAAGAGATTGTTAATAAAATGCCACTTTACACATACTTGGAGATCAAGCCTCCAACGGAAGCAACGCTTCTACGAGATGATACATCGGCGAGCTCAATCGAGCATGATTCTGGTAAAAAGACGAACTCCTCATTACCCAACGAAGAAACTCACACCCGGGACGATTCTGGCATTCAGAAACCTGAAGCAGCAATGATCAAACCCGGACAGAATGATTCTTGCAGAAGCAAGTACCGTCTGAGCCACACTCAAACAACTTGTGCTATTTGTCTCGACGATTTTGTTGTTGGGTCATCTACAGTCCGCGAATTGCCTTGTGGACATATATTTGACTCGGCGTGTATTGATCCATTCCTGACCCAGAACTGTTGCCTTTGTCCTTTATGCAAGAAGAGCGTTTTGCCAGCGGGATCATACTACATCTCCGTGACCAATGAGATGGTCGAACGAGAGCATCGTTTAAGGCGCCCTTGAATGTAACACATGAGACTGCTATGGTTTTTTTTTGATTTCTTGATTTTTGATTTTGGAAGCCTATGCCTTCTGTGCCAACATGGGGATAGCGAGTACTATCAGTTGCATTTACTGAGCGAGGTGATTTGATGATTTTAAAGTTTTTTCTTTTTTTGTATGATGATTCGATAGCGATTGAACTACTGGAATTTTAAACTCACGATCAACCAATTTTAAATCAAAGATCCAATTAGAGAACTACAAGATCAGTCGACCACTTATACGGCCTCTGTCCTGGGCATTTTTTTACATCTGGTCATTGGCCTATGACACAAACCCCACAAAGGTAGTCTAAGAGCAAAGCGTAGAAAAGCAAAATCCTCGAACAGGAGACTTTCCATTTTCAACTCTGAATTTTCATTCAATATTGTTAAAGTGAGAAAATGAACGAAAGCGCCACCAATTTAGAGCTTGCAGCTCGAGGCAGTGGAGTGGTATTGACACCTGGCTTTCAAGGCAATAATTTTGTCATCCCATGATTGGTCGCGGTGGGTCAACTCGCTAATCGCTAGCGTCCCACACACAACTTCTGCCTCTAGACGTTTTCTTCCTCGAACTTTTTGCGACAACGACAACCGACGACCTCGTACAGCCGACAAGGTACGCTCATCTTTTTTCGTTTAACACAAAATCCGCATTTCTCTAACCTACAACCGTCCAGATGGGTGCCCTCAAGTACGTGGAAGAAATCCAGAAGAAGAAGCAGTCCGATGTGATTCGCTTCCTGCTGCGCGTCCGATGCTGGGAGGTGAGACAATAACCCTTCTTCCCCGACTGCCTGACATCTCCGCCGAGCACTCGTGTGCGTTGCCTTAGGATATGCCGTTTTCATGGGGTATTGCTAGGCGGCTCGAACAAAAGTCATTCGGCGGAAATGATTGTGACACACAAGAATACCCTTCTGGGCTTCATGTGTCTTGCTATACACTCGTTGAACTTTGCTGAGAGTGCATAATATAGCTCCGCCAGCTGAACGCCATCCACCGTGCCTCGCGTCCCTCGCGCCCCGACAAGGCCCGTCGTCTCGGTTACAAGGCCAAGCAGGGTTACGTTATCTACCGTGCCCGTGTCCGCCGCGGTGGCCGCAAACGCCCTGTCTCCAAGGGTGCCACCTACGGTACGAGTCCTTCCTTTCGAAAGCAGATTTTCGGAGGTCTATGGGAATTTCTGGAATATTTTGGGGCTAACGTGTGGTTGTGTGAACAGGCAAGCCCACCAACCACGGTGTCAACCAGCTCAAGTACCAGCGTGCTCTCAAGTCCACCGCTGAGGAGCGTGTTGGCCGTCGCGCTGCTAACTTGCGCGTCCTGAACTCCTACTGGATCAACCAGGACTCCACCTACAAGTACTACGAGGTCATCCTTGTCGACCCCCAGCACAAGGCCATCCGCCGTGATGCCCGCATCAACTGGATCTGCAACCCCGTTCACAAGGTGAGTTTGGCTCGAAATCCAACTCTGATGCCCGGGAGCTTTGCTGATCAAGTTTTTCTTTCTAGCACCGCGAGTCCCGTGGCCTCACCGCCACTGGCAAGAAGTCCCGTGGTATCAACAAGGGTCACCGTTACAACAACACCAAGGCTGGTCGCCGCCACACCTGGAAGCGCCAGAACACCCAGAGCTACTGGCGTTACCGTTAAGTGCGGTAGTGCACTTTCACAGTGGTTTCGGCTGGATCATGTTGGCTACGGCATGTGGTCATTTATTCAGGCACTTTCCCAGACAGTGTTATCCACGCTGGGCTCAACTTTAATGCAGACCAGCCGGTTCTGTTGTTAGCCAAAAAGCCATCTTGTTCTATTTTCAATTCCCCTATTAACGAAGTATGACTGGTTCAACCCCATGCCACTGGTATTGTAGCATGTGTAGACATGTTTTTGGACCTTTATAACTAGCTCTAAGACTGTAATTGTGCCCATTGTGAGATCTGACTGGATTTCATATCCAAGTGATGCCAAGTCCAAGATGAAGCCGCGACAAACCCTAATGCAGCGCTAATTGCACTACCTCCCTCTGCCTCTAGTGCCCCACAGACCTAGAAGGTCACCAGATTGAGTGCACCGACGCCACGAACGAAGCCGGTCAATTCTACGTGGTCCCCGTTGACCTTTCAAAGAGAACAAAATTCCCGTAGACTGCGACGCAGCCAAGGTCAAGCAATACCGGTCAAAACGCTGAAGGAGATTATTAAAAGTTGCCCCCAAAGAAAGCACTCCAGGCACCCCTGTCCTGCTTGCTGCAGTACTATATGCCGCAGCAGACAGACAGAAATCCATGCTCTATTGCGGCTCCCCATCAACTAAGTCAAATGAAGTCTTCTAATTTACCTATCTGCATTGATGATGATGAACCTCGCGAATGCGCGAAAGCCCGACAAGTACAGGACCAAGCTCAAGAAGATACCCATGATTAGAACCTCCAAGACGGGCACCCGGCTTAGCATGGCGCCCACGAGAACAACCTAGCTCACCAAGATGACGACTAAACCGACAACCTCTGTGCCCAGCAGGTCTAACGGAATGACCACGAAACCGCACACGACAAGTAGCTTGCCCTTGCTAATACCAACTGAGGTACCGCTACCCCTCTGACCTCTTTCGAGCGTTTACTTCCAGCTATTTCCAAGGTTGTACGGAGTACATGGAGAAGTATTTTGCACCAAGAATGCTTTTTTACACCGCCTTCTCATACGTCTACGAAGACATCTACAAAAGACTAGCTAAAAAAGGCCAGCTAAGAGATATCACAAGGCCACATAAGCGGCCCACTATTCTTGTTGAAGATTAAACCAAGTTCGAAAAGCTATTTACTACCTCCTACTTCTATTTATAACTTGTTTGCATCAGGAGAGAAGATCGTTCCCTTCACGGAACTCGACAGTATACGGAGTCAGTGCCGAATGGTGAGGAGTTTTGTTATCCCCGAATTAATGAATAAAATTCGATTGTTTTTCTCGAACTGGCTAGCCAATTGGTTAAAAGTTCAAAGACTACCATGGTGAAAACGCCTGGTGGAAGTCATGCGTGTACCACGAGCATGCTCACGTTCATCATGAGACAGGCGGTGTTGCAATCCCCTTACACGTCGCAGAATCCTTCAAAGGATGTTTCGATAGAGGATGAACCCATGTTTCTCGGAGCTGACAATGTCGACCCCACCAAGGACATGCCCCCTATTAAAGCTTGCCCACCATATTGCCAAGGATGAAGCCCAAAGCTTCTCCACCTTTACTTGTGACGATTCACGCTGGATGGCTTTTACTTCTTCGGCCTCATCTATGACCACCTAAGCTGGAGGGGTTTGCTATTCGGACTTTGATTTCTATGAGCTTCGGATACTTCGAAGTCTTTGCTTTCCTTTTTTTTTTTTGCGTTTGCTTCATGAGTCCAGGTCATATTACTGGAGCGCTTGCTTCTAATCTTTCCATCATCTAAACTTGCGATGGACCAGCCGCGTGCTGTAGCGGATCGCTAGGAACTAATACGTATCATTCTTGTAAATTGGGGATTCTTATAAACTTCTGTCTCTCATTAACGGATACGCGTCCTACAAAAATAGAATTGTCGCCTGTGATTTCAGGCAACAAATCCACAAATAGAACTGGAGTGCCTGAGGCAGGAAGAACTGCCTCCCCCCCCGGCCACTTTCCCAATCCGTCTACAGACTATGAAATGCTGCTGTAACGATCTATCACTCTTCCATTGGATTCTCAGGTGAGACAGTTCTTTATTTGGTGAGACTTGACTTGCTTACTGAAGTCCCATCCTCGCAATAGACCAACCTGTCATTTACCAAACAAAGAGGCCAAGCTCACTTTACTCGACTGCCTTACCCCTCGACTCCGTCTTCCACGATCTATTCGCATGTGTCTAGCACGAAGAACAAGCTTCACAAGCTCCACAAGCTGGATACCGTACTGGATAGGTTGAATTTGGTTAAATAAAACCCACCAAAATTGATGCGTCTCTATGCCGTCCCGGTCTGAACACCATCCGCCTGTCCCCCCGATCTCAGCTGCTAGCAACACCACCATTCCTGGAAAATACTCTTCTCAAAATTCTGGGCTCGAAACTAGCTCACGCCGTATAGTTCGGCCTCGCGATGCGTCAGTCATGCCCCCGTTAAACGACAGTACGCCCAAGGGTTCGCACCACCAAGCACATTCACGCTCGATCAGCAATCCTTTCGCTGGCTTGGGGCGAAAACGGGACAAGACAGCTCCAAAGCATGCGACTTGGGGCTCTGACGACGATGATGACGATGAGGTAACATATCCATTGAAGCCCGAGTCGTCAAGTCCCCGGAAAGGTGCAGCAGCTGGAAATGATATCGCCGAGGGCAAGTGCCAGACTTGTGATGCTACTGTCCGGTGGCCTCGACACTTGACGGTGTTTAGATGCACCGACTGCTTAATGGTCACAGACCTCGGGCCGATTTCTCATGAGTCAAAAGGCACCCCTCCACAAGGGACTCAGGGTGGGGCGTCCAAGTTGGCAAGCAAAGGTAACACCACTAATACGAGTTTTGCTTCCCAGTTTTATAGAAAATGCTAATTTGCTACCACAGTGTTTCTTTTGACGGCCAATCAAACTCGTGGTATGATCGGAGGATGTCTCAACATGTATTTTGATAGCCTTCTGGATAATGGCTCTCAGTCATGGTTGTCGCCGGACGACGACAGAACGAACGTACAGCTGCCTGATATTCCGCCAATGCAGGCTCATGAGCCAGGCCCAAATAATCTCGCGCCCCCGCGCACTGGGGATCCTCGAAGCCGTAGTGCTTCCCATTCCAATGAACGGGAACGGTTGGCGGCGTCAAAACAGAACTCCGGTTACTTGAAACCACAATCCACTCGCTGGGAGGGAAGTGACACGCCCGTCAGAGTCCGAGCAAATTCAGATCTCCGATCAACCCCAAAGCCAGACTGCCACCCACATGATGTCTCGCAAGCAGGGAACCCAGAGTTCCAAAGCTCCGACAATCGGACACACATTTTCAAACGGCTGGAAAATACCATCATCACTGCCTTCAAAGGTTGTGATTGCCTTAACGAATCCTTCACCACATACCCACCCCCTCGATCAGCCCGAGCAGCTAGTAGTGGTAATCCGCCGAGAATGAGGATGGAACCGACTACAATGCCCGAGCCAGCGCCTGACGCTCCTGTCTTTGAACCGGATGCCAAAACTCTTCTTTTGGGAGATTTGACTGAGAACTCTGCTTGGTGGATGAATGAATGGGCTGAGGCCGAAGGCCAAAACCCCGCGTATTCGAAAGAGAAGAGCGCTCCAAAGTCTCGGATGATATCATCCCGAAGTCCTCGGATCAACTGGACCGAGTTAGCACAGTGGTATCATTCGATTCTGTCTGCGGGGAATTCTTGGTCTGAGCTCTGGGCCGCCAAAAAACCTGATCCCACACGATCAGAAGCGGATTTGGCCCGAGCCAAGAGATGGGCGTCTATTGATCCGTCTTTAATTGGGAGACAAATCAGCGAGTCTCGATTGCATTTACAGCGGGCACTGTTGAAAGCTTCCGAGGCCCTGCTCAAGCGCCCGGGCCGTGTTCTGAAGAAACCAGAGGATGCCAGATTCTTGTTCATATTGCTAGCGAATCCTTTATTGTCTTCACCTGGGTCTTTTTGCCAGCATGCGCTCACCTCATCGTCTCATCGAGATGACAGGCGCCCCTCGCCTCCTAAAGACTACCCGAAGTCGGCGACCCGAGACGGAAACCCCTTGCAGAAAGAGTCGCCCAAGGCCCCTGCTCGTGTAGAGGGCTCCAGTCACCACTACGGAATCATCAAACGAATCCTGGGACTCATGTCTAACCTTCCCAATGACTGCCATCACTACATCGTGTCTTGGGCTTCCCGTTTCTCTGTTAGACATTTCGAGCGACTGATAGAACTTGTCGGTGGATTTCTCACTTACCGTTTGAGTCGTCAGCATGGGCGAAAACGCGCTCAAAAACCCCAAGAGGGAGATGATCTCATTCCGAGCTTCGCCAGTGCTTCGGGAAATACTGCCGCGGAACTTCACGCTGCGATTAATCGAACCACCACGATCAAGAAGCCTAACAAAAAGACCGATGACCCCATCGTATACGCCGAGGACTGGCAGGTCCGAGCGGCGGCAAGAGTAATGTCGCTGTTCTTTACGGCTAATATCTCCTCTGCAACGAGGAAATCGGATGGAACCCCACGCAGCCTGGAAATGTCCAAGAACGCAGGCCCTCCTCAAGGACATATGCTTCCGATAAGTATATTTTACAACACACTGCTGGACTATTCGGATCTAGTCACGGACTTCGAGACTTGGGAAGCCAAAGTCTCGAAGTTTTCGTTCTGTCAGTATCCCTTCCTCCTTAGCATCTGGGCAAAAATTCACATCATGGAACATGATGCGCGTCGTCAAATGGAAGTGAAAGCACGCGATGCTTTTTTCACTAGCGTCCTCAACCACACGGCGGTTAGTCAGTACCTCGTGTTGAAGGTACGGCGCGAGTGTTTGATTGAAGACAGTCTCAAGGGAGTGAGTGAAGTTGTTGGTACTGGCCAAGAGGAAATCAAAAAGGGTCTTCGGATCGAGTTTTCGGGCGAAGAAGGCATTGATGCTGGTGGCCTGCGGAAGGAATGGTTCCTTCTGCTTGTCCGAGAGGTCTTTGACCCGCTTCATGGTAAGAGTTTTCTACTTTCAGAGTGAAGTCACTTGCTAATTCAAAATAGGCCTCTTCGTCTACGACGATGATTCGCAGTACTGCTACTTCAATCCTTATTGCTTTGAGTCATCCGAACAATTCTTCTTGGTTGGGGTTCTTCTGGGTCTTGCCATTTATAACTCCACCATCCTTGATGTTGATCTCCCGCCGTTTGCGTTCAAGAAACTGTTGTCGGCGGCACCGCACGCCAACGGGCCCCAAACGGCTACCTCCATGCGTTCGACCTTCAAATGCACTCTAGAAGACCTTGCCGAGTACCGGCCAGCTCTCGCCAAAGGACTCCGGGGTCTACTAGAATTCGAAGGCAATGTTGCCGAAACATTCTGCTACGATTTCGTTGCCCAGGTCGATCGCTACGGCGAGATCATCAGCGTGCCCCTCTGTTCAAATGGCGAGAACCGACCGGTGACCAACTCTAACAGGCGTGAGTTTGTGGATCTTTATGTCCACTATCTGCTAGACACAGCCGTGGCTCGGCAATTCGAACCTTTCAAACGCGGGTTTTTCACCGTTTGCGGTGGCAATGCGTTATCACTATTCCGACCAGAAGAGATTGAAATGTTAATCCGCGGCTCAGATGAAGCACTTGATGTCAATTCTCTCAAGGCTGTGGCTACCTACGACAACTGGTCACACCCACGACCAGAATCAGTTCCCGTGGTGCGATGGTTCTGGGACTTCTTTGAGAAATCGCAGCCTCAAGATCAGCGTAAGATCCTGTCATTCATTACTGGCAGTGATCGAATCCCAGCCATGGGGGCTACCAGCCTTGTTATCCGGCTTGCTTGTCTTGGTGACGACTGTCCCCGTTACCCGATTGCACGGACGTGTTTCAACACGCTGGGTCTCTACCGCTATCCCACGCGGGAGAAGTTTCAGCGACTGCTCTGGGATGCAGTTGTAAATAGCGAAGGATTTGGCTTGAAATGATTTGTTTACTTTGTTTCTTACTGCTCAGAACTTATGTTGCTCGTGGTGTTTGAGCTTTTGTGTAGACGCTGGACGTTAACTTCGGAGTGAGCTTTGCATGTTCATATTTTGCGTCGGGGGCTGCTCTCTTTTGGTTTTTCATCTTGTCCTGGCGTGCCGGTGCCGTTTGTTTTTTTTTTTTTTTTCGCTTTGCGAACTGCAAAAGGGGGGTTGTGCCTTGTTTATTGCTCCAGTCTTGATGACTGAGAGAGTCTCGTTCACATTTGCCTTCTTGCACGTTTTTTTTTTCTATTCTAGCACTATGCTACCCTGCTAAGAATACAGTACACACTTGACATACACCAAGCTCCGTACATCCCTCACCCTCTCAAGCCAACAACTCCCCAGCCTTCTACAACAGGAAGAAACAACTCGAAGTCCCCCACCATACCAACCCCATAACCCGACTCCACGTAGGATGATCGACAAAAATATAACCAGTGCCATAAACAACACATGCAATAGTATAGGACAACACCGCAGCGTTAGCCTTCTGCGCGGGGACACCCGCCAACGACGCAAAGAGCACGCCTGCCACCAGCAATGGGAAATCTCCACCGCGTTAGCATGCGCCGACACCATGCGCTTGAGTAAATCCAGCTGCCTGCACGTGATCCCGCCTTCACGCACAGCCGCCTCGCCGTATTTGGGTAGCTCTTCGCGTGGCAAGACTTAGTGGTCGATGCCTTACCATTGTTTAAGAGTGCGTGAAGAGAGGATACCGTATGTTGTAGGCGAGGATAAAGTTGAATGTTAGGAATGCGGGTTGAGGGAGGTGTGGAGGCCTAGGGCCGTGAGGAGGAATATCAATTTTGGGACAAGAAGTGAGAGAGCTGGTGCATGTAGGCGTTGGGGGTTGGCCGTTATTATAAGCAGTTGAACTAAAATGTCACCTCACATCTCCGGTACCCTTGGTCCCTTAGGCTCGATGCTCACTGGCCATTTCCTCTGGAAGTTAGAGATCCCAAGGTCAGACTCTTTCTGGAAGTGGTAGGGGGGGGGGGGGGGGGGTTTAAAAAAAAAGAGGAAAGTTTTCGTCAAAGACCAGTGTTCAGTGTTCTTTTCCTCTTATGTGCTTTCTCTACATAGCATCCGAATGATGTACAAGCCAAAATTGCAAGGCAGAAGACGAATCTAACGGTATAAGATACCATCGACCATCTCGCCAATCGCCAAGGAACTCGTCAAGCCCGGGCTCTCAATCCCCAACAAATTGACAAACCCAGGCTGGCCCTCTTCCTCCCGGACGATGAAGTCCTGGAACCCCTTACCCTCATTGACAGCTCCACCCCTCCCCAGTTTAGGGCGAATACCGCAGTAATCTAATGTAATAGCATCGACATCGACACCAGGCAAATAAGCCTTGATCTCCGGCAACGCCTGCTCCAAACGCGCAGCGCTCGGCACCAAATCATCAGGACTATCCACCCACTCAACATCCGGTCCGAAGCGAACACGGCCGCCCAAGTCAAGTGTCAGATGCGTACCAAGCCCACTAGTACCCGGCAAAGTCACCGGATAAACCAAAACAGAAGTCCTAGGCCTGGACGACGCATAAGAGAAGTACGTTCCCTTAGCGTAATGCGGAACAAAATGACGTTCTTGCGGGAGGAGCATGTTGCTGATCTCGCACGCGCCATGCCCAGCACTATTGATCAGCGTCTCAGCTGTGATGGAAGTAACCGAGCCATCCTCACCCGAGACAGCGGTAATCTTATACCCGCCGCGGCCGCCATCGATCGCCTCCACGCTTGTCACGCGCGTCTTGAACGCTATATCACCGCCGCGGTCCTCAAAGTCGCCTTGCAAATAGGTCATCAGCGAGTGGCTGTCCACGATCCCGGATGTCTCGCTCTCAACGATGCCTGCGTCTGCTTTGACGTCTGGCTCGCGCCGCTGTGCTTCTTCGCGTCCCACTAGGCGTGTCGGGGCGTCACCTAGTCCTTGTGCGTGCGCGTGAAGTTTCAGACAGACGTCCCACTGCGTCGGTGTTTGCGCCACGATCCATTTCTTCGTTTTGCGGTGGGGGATGTTGTTTTGCGCACAGAGGTCGTAGAGGAGGTTGCGGCCGCGGATGCAGAGGTTGGTTTTGAGGGAGTTCGCTGGGTAATAGAGGCCTGCATGTATAACCTGGTTGGTGATGAGGATTTTGTTAGATTGGCTGGATTGTGTTGGTCTGTTGCGAAATGTTGAGGCGGGGCTTATCGCATAGGATGTATTACCTCGGAGTTGCGACTGCTCGTCTCTGTTCCTGGTGCGTCATGTCGCTCTAGTAGAATGGTTGAGGTGCCTTGGCGAGCTGCAAGTTCCCGTGCGGTCGCGAGGCCGACGACGCCAGCGCCAATCACCTTTCATTTGGATTAGCCATCGGTTCTCTGTCTTGGAGCTTCATGTGCAATCTACCGCATGAGTGAAGTCCGCATTGGTTGATCGGGTGCTGGAAAAGCAGCGAGTGGGAATCTTATTTTTGCGCTTCAAATGCTGCCTAAGCATTGCACGTGCAGACATATCGGGAAGGCGCAACCAGCAATCTGCGAAGGAAATGATCAGTTGGAAGCCTCGGGAACGGCCTCGGGAACGGCCTCGGGATGACGCGATCGGCCGAGGCACGCCAAGCTCTGGAGAACTATCAAACTCAAAGGCATGTGACTCATGGAACTATAAAAAACGAAGTATAAAAAAGAAGTCAACATCTTTCATTTAACATCTATAGATGTGTAAGGAGAGAAAAAGCATGTCTTCAAATGGTATTTTAGCCAAGCGGCGAAAATACGGACAAAGAAGCAGATGAAAACATCAAAGGCTCAGGTATAAATTTGAAAGAAAGTGAAGGCAATTGTTTTAACTGACCATGCATCTCATCAATTACCCTAACATCCCATCGTGAGGCCACCTCGAGCTAGTCATCACAATTGCCTCAAGTTCACATCAACTCAACCATCTTTACCACTTCCCATCTCAGCCAAGATGCCCCAACCAGGTATGTTCTCTCGCATCACAGTCAGCCATGCTGTCCACCCATCTGTTTTTTTTAAAATTAATTCAAAACCTTGAAACTGCCATAGTATGATAATAAGTAAAATGTAAGAAGAGTGGTTTACTTAGTGCATCTAGTGTCGTGATAGGTAGGGCTTAAACCGGGCCATAGAACCCAGTTACTTCTTCTACCTTGGAAGTTGATTACTGTAACCGTATCGAGCAAAAAAAAAACAAAGACAACCAAACCGCTAGATTAGATTTTGTTTGCCAGTTGAGACATTTTAACTTGATATCTCTAAGAACATCACTCATTATGTATAAATTATAAGAAAATTTCTTGGGCATTCCACTTCCCAGAGTCCTTGAGAAGAGAGACAAAATCAAGCATGATTCGACGCGCAGATTAATACCCACCGTGGAGCAACAGTCCTTGCAAGTAGATAGTGGCCCCATTGCGAATGAAGTTACTAGCAAAATCATTCGTCGGCGCGAGAGTCTGAGTTCCTCTAGGCTCCATAGAGACAGCTGGCTCGGCCGTCCATAGTGGGCGGACATGTCGGCTGGGTAATCCAGGGACGAAGAGAGCCTTGTTGATGCGAAGAGACGCCGCTCGCGAAGTTTGGTAGATGGAGGTAGAATCGGTGCTTCTCCGCCGGTGATCCCATTCCGGGATCCGGGGACCATAGAAGATGTACCCGCAATTAATGATGACTGTCGATGTGGCGCTTCTGATGAATCGGCTGTCGCATCAGCATGATTATGGCTTTTGGCATGTCGGCTCAAGACATCGCTGTATGCTCGCAAAATTTAGGAATCGAACATGTGGGTTTGAAGATTGTTACAATTCTCATGCACCTTCAACGGAATTTACCCTCGAGAGAAACGCTTGTGGCAGAAATCGCAATTCTATGGGTGACCGTTCTGTGTCTGTGGTGTGCATGTTAGATTGCAGCTCTGGGAGGGGTTCAAATGTGACTAACCCCTCCGAAATCTGCATGAGCATCCTGTAGCCCTCGAGACCTGGGAAAAAAGCGTCTTGGTCAGCATGTCCTGGGTTCCAAGGTGTGACTTGACTGTGTTGGGAAAGGTAGATACCTTTCAAAGAACACGTACCGATAACGGATGCCTTTGGGGGTACAGTATGACCCCTCGGCTAACGTTTATTTAATTGATTGCTCTCTTCGACAATTCGGAAGTCCATGTCCACCGTAATCTGCCCATCCTCGCCATATTCTCTCCTGACTCCGCTCATCTCGACTTGTACGTCCCGGGTGGTCAACAAGGTCTCGTCCCAGTCTAGTGGCCTCTGTCTTCGAACAATGGTTCTTTTGTTCGTTGTCTCCTGTTTCTTTGAATCATACCTGTTCGAGCTGATGCCAAACACGCGAGAGATAACGGAGCGGATCATTGGATGCAATGTTGGCAGACAGGCGCACAAGATGCCGATGGAGGGCTCAATGCTGGACCAGAGAAAGACGTTGCCGACAACCCAGGTGTAATCGTGGGCTCTGAGGAAGTGAATGTAATAAATCCGGACGAAGCTGGTAACGCAGACACTGAGAAAAATCATGAGCTTTTGAGTCAAATGCACTTGGCTGTCGGGGAAGGGGTTGACACACAATCCTCCAATCAAAAGGATACCGCATACGAGGATTTTCTGTGTCCTTGGCATTTGCAGCTTCCACACAATGGGCATTGGAACCATCAAGATGGACACATCCGTGGCCACATTGACCGCAGCATAGCTGATGTAGAATTTGTAGATGTCGTAGACACATCTTCCTCCGTTGGGATCTGTAAACTGTGTCCAGTTATACGAAACGGGTCTGCAGCACACCAGATAGGAGACCATGCCAGACATAAAATATCCAACCGACAGAAACACACAGAACCACATTGAATTTGTCATGCCAAAGATACGGCGGTAGAAGAGGAGGATCGACAATTTAATGAGCGGATTGCTGACCAAGTAGAGCAGGACGAACGCGAACAGGGTGTGCATCACATCCTCGGCTTGGGTGTGAGGGACAACCCATATGTGCTTTCCGAGACCGGGATTTCCACTTGCTGTTCCTGAAGTCAGAATTGAGACCGCTGGACGGGATAGATACATACCAACAACAACCAACGCGAAACCTGCAGACAAAACCAGCTGTAGGCATCGGTCAGAAACACAACGTCTTGTCAACGGATTCCTCTTGTCTTTGGCAAACGTACCAAGGCAGCCGCGATCAACCAATCATCTGCCGCTATTCGCACGGCTTGGACTCGTACTCGTGAATAGAACCGAAGCCCGACAGCTATCACCGCAATGACATAGGTTGCGATCACCGGTGCGATCTTCACCGGTCCGCGATCGGCGTATAGGTCTATCCCAGGTGGAGGCTCACCCAGCGCCATATCGAGAATTGGAGAAAGGCTCACATCCGAGAAATAAGGTGAGTACAGGAGGACCTAGCTTTAAATCTGATCCCAAATTTAGACTTTCATACTTCTATGCGTCCACACTTTAAATCTCTTCACACGCTATGGAATGCAGGGCCAAGAAACGGTCCCAAGTACCACACGTGGACAATCTCATAGTGGCATCCACTTCCCGTCTTTGGATGAAACCCGTCGAATGAGATTGGGAAGATGACGCTTCTAATCCCCACTGAGAACGAATTCGGCTCTCATTCAAACCCCGGCCAACGCTAATGTGTACTACTGTCTCAACGGTAAATAAAAAAAAAAAGAAGAGATGGGGCCAACCCCTGAGTTCGGAGTAATGCGTCGGGCCCGGAAGTCTTACGTTTTTCTTTTTTGGAATTATTAATTTTTTTTTTCCCAAGGAGTGGGATAAGAGATGTATAGGGGGGGAAAAAAAAAATTAACAAATCTCCCTCCCCTAGCGTGCAACATCCACCATTACATGTCCAACAAATTTCTATACAGTGAGACTATCAATATAGCACCTGGTTAATATGCGTTTCAGGAGAACTCCAAGTCGTAGAGGGGCAGTATTGATTTGCCATAATCCATGCATAGTAACTGAAACAAGAAGCATCCACTTGATCTCGTGGATTGAACGGTTTATAAGAAAAAAAAAAAAAAAACAAAAAAAAAAATTTATCTAAAAAAGAACGAATTAAATTA